GTTTGTTCCCCCCCAAATGTCGCGTAAATAGGGAACCCTTTTTGAATAAATCTTACGTTTCTTACAAGCCTCAGACATACGATATCGGCATTCAAGCAGACATTTTAATGAAATATTATCCACTTAGTGGCGTCTTAACTAAATAGTCTATTACAGGATTTGCAAATGACAATTTAATTGATTTATGTTTTAGAAAGAGTAGCAAAGTGATCGGATCGATATCCCACTGGAATGTTTGTATGTTTTCGGATAACATCAGCCACCCTTCTTTGCTTCTCTTAATAGCCTTCTCTTTACTCTTAAATACGGCGCGTAATTTAATCAGATTTAATTGATATTGACCAAACCAGGTAGAGTGGTTGAGTGATGCTTTTAAGGGCAATCATCTTAAAATTGAATAGGATTCGTTATCGGGAGGAGACTTTTACATTATATTACGCGGTTTGCTTCCCAACAATAACAAATAATACCATCAGTTTATTAATTAGTCGGATCTGACCAGCCGCCGGAGGATGTTTAATCTTGCAGCAAACGCGATTAAAGGGATTGCGAAAGGGCAGCTAAGGAAGCCCAATGAATTAGCTGATGACCGCCTTGACCTGCGGTTAAAGCGTCGTCTTTAGGACCTAGGGAGAGCAATAGCTGACATTTAGGAGGGATTTCGTCCAGAAGGATACCTATTTCATTAAATTTTCTATTTTAGAAAATAAACCGAACATTATCCAAACACACAAACACTCTTGAGACGTTGCTAATAGTGCGCAAATATAACAACCAGAGACGTAGATTATTCAATTTAATTATATAATTATCATTAATTTCATTAATGCGTTTGTTTGATTTAAAATTATTTATAGTATAGAATTATGATCAAAATAGATGATTTTTTTCTTAAAGAAAATTAAACGAGAACGCCCCTGATAAGGGGTGACTATTCCGCAAGGTTGATCTGTGGCCGTAATTCTCGGTTAATTTGCTTGTATGACGAAGAGTACCTAGGTTAATTTCGCTAATAAACTTCTATGTTCGAACAAATATTTGCTCTACTAGAGTTAGTTGATATTGTAAATATACAAAGCCACCGACTGTCGCTTGCGGATCGCAAAACCGCAAGGCTTCCACTTCAAATGAATAAAAATACTCCTTGCGGAAACATCAAAGGGCTTTTGATAATCGTTGATTACCGGAATAATTTCCGCAAAACTGACGTATTTTCGCGACGAATAAATTCCTTCACTTTTTTTCCAGTTGAAGAAAAAAAAAGTGGATGAAAAAAAGATTTTTTTTGAAAAAATCGTTTATTTTGTGTAACGAGTGAGTATTAAACCGCGAATGGTGGAGATTAAATTGTCGTATTCATTCTGACAGCTTAAGTGCTTTCTAATATTCCCTGAAGGTAAACCAAAAAGAAAAACGACGATAGAACCTCCTTAAAAAGCAATTGTTATGCAAAACTGGCGTGGAGCCAAATCACCACCTGTTCGGGAGAGACCCCCACCGTTCATCCTCATCAAGGGAAGACTTCTTTCAGGTCCGACAGTCTAAAGCCAATCTTTTGTATTTGCTCTATTTTGGAACGGCGTTTCAGCATTACCGGCTTCTTGGCCTGGAAAGAATAGCTATCTAAAAGGTTTAATACCGTAGTTAGAATAATTGCTGCCATATTTAAGTCGCCGTCTCAGAATAAAGACTGCCACAGTGGCGGACGTGGCTTTAACGATCGAAATCGTGCCAGAAACATTCATTCCATTCCGACTTGCTCTACATACAAATTTTTACTCAAACATATCTCACAAATTTATACTTGATAATTTCAAATTGTACCTACATTTTCTGCGTTTAAAACTCGTATGAAATCGAATTCGCCAATTGATAATCATGCTTGCAAATCGTTTCCATTGCCCCTGATTTCATCGCACTCCAGCACTGAAAATCTCGAGTTACACAGCTAGGATTAAATGTAATAAAGCAACAAACCAACAGGAAGAATAACCGGACGAAAATAAGAGGATAACGGCATGATAAATATTAATTTTCTTTTTTTTTCCTCTTTGTTTGATGAATACAATGATGAATGAATAATGGAAGAACGATATTCGTTAATCAATATCAAAATTTTGGAGTACCTAACGTTTTCATTTCCGTCTCTCCTTTAAAGATGTTCCGAGGAAGCTTTCTTTGGTTACAACCGAAAATCTTGTTTTTCATACACAAAGAATTAGGGCTTCCGACGATAATTGATTAAGCAAAAAACGAATAAACTTCCTTAAGCATTCGTCCCCTCGAAAAAGACGCCTAATCCTCGCAGATAGTTGTTTGGTTAAGAAGAAATAAAGTTAATGGAGCGAAGAGGAAAATGGAAAGAAATCGTCAAAGAAAATCGTCTCCGACGAGTCCAGTGTTAGTTGTTGAACATTCTTACTTCAATGAAAATTATGAACGATTCTAATTGAAACTTGAAACGAGGGTAGTATAGTTGCGATTTTTTCGTCCCCATTGAACTCGATTCGCGAAAACCGAGCGATTTTCGAGCGGAAATTCGCCCAGACCTCTGGATCCCGATCTGCATCTGATAATCCGCTTGCGGAGACATTTGAACCGCGCCTAAGACGTTACAGCGACACGCGATGGGCTAAGACGAGTTCGAAACAAGGTATGATCACATTAATGCTTTTACCGTGCTCCTCTCCGCCGCAAGAGAGAAGGAATTAATTCGGCTCAGAATTGTATTATGTCTAATATGCGAAAACACATTTGGCTAATTCGTTAGTTACACTTAGAACTTATGCTGATGAAAATCCGAGCTTGCGAAAGCCTAATAAAAGTAAAGCGAAACGAATTATTTGTGGTATGATATATGTAGAGAGAAGCACCGACCTGGGATGTATAGTACAAGAATAACGAGCCACTGATATCGCGAAAAAATATATAATTTTCTTCGTATACGAACTGAGTGTGTTATTCGATTATCCATGAATTCGTTTGATATGTTGAATGTGGATTATGTAGAGTGTGTTATTTATTACTAGAATTAAATATGTTAATATAAGTATATAAAGGAAAGAATAAGTATAATTACGGTTGGAAGAAAAACTTCCCGGCATCCCTAACGAACGTGTAATTTTTCATTACGTGCTAAGATCAAGGGGGAAGAACGTGATCAGATTTTAGGTCTACCGTTCGATTTCGGGTTGAGTATGACCAACCCCGCTAAGAAAGTAGGCGCCACCCTCTATTATAATTTTTAAGCCCCAATCTTCGCCATTATACATTTAGCTCTAGTCCAGAATCGCAATTTTTACCGAGACGGCACGTCTTAGCAGGCTCCATACCCGGCTAAATGCTTAAATCAACACGAAAAATAAGTTATTCAAATTAAAAATGTAATTTCAGCGTGCACCGAAGTTATTACATTTTAATCCTCGACCCCTGATACGGCTTCTAAATGCGAGACTCTTAAAAATATTAAGCAACCGGAACAAATCGACTGCCCCCTCCCGCTTCTTTTCTTTCGGCTTGATGGTAAACTCTCCGACACCGAATCTCTTCTGAATATATTACAAGATCAAGGAAAGAGTTGCGTTTCCTTTTCCTTTTACTTTTCCTCGCCTGATGCCCTCTTTTCAACCCTATTCGGATCTTAACAGGGGTGGCGTGGCGATCATCCGATTTAATCTTTCATTTTCTTTCATCATATCATTTCACTATACATACATCATCAATCAACAATATCTATTTTTCTTTAATTTTACTATCTGTTTTAAATTTTATAAGGAAATTAATGGTACATATAAAAAGTTATCATAAATATAAACGTAAATTATTGTACTCTAGATACTTTTTGATATAGTATGTACAATTTGGATAGGTTTCAAATAATACATTGGTAAATCAAGATGCAATATTATTATCTCAACTGATTTATTTTTGAAAGATTTTAATTAGAGATCATGTTGCATTAAAAATTTTAATGGTTCGAAAGGAAAAGAAAGATCGATTAGTTTTTGTAGCGCCACTGGTATTACAGAACCATTATACGAGGATTAAAGCGAAATCACGAGCGCGACCTAAACGTCCTTAGCTCCGGCATTGTTTCGGACCGAGTCGTTTGGAAAAACGAATAAATATCTCCGAGATACCAAGATACTTCTGCCATGCCGACTAATTCCACGCGATGTGCCATAAGACTATTAAAACTCTAAACGCAATGCGAACAGGGGCTTTCATTATTTGTAATCTAACGGGACTTATGGAAAAAGTTTCCATTTATTTTTAATTCCCTATATTCCACCCTTTTATTGAAAGGCGAGCGCAATGTCTTACCTAAGGCCCCGAGGAAACCTCCTCGTCGTGGAACTGCGGACTTTACTGTGCGCCAAACCGTACCAAATTAAAAACACCTTTTCTTTTCCAAATGGATTCGCATAACGACCTATATATATGTATATATATATATTCTTCATTATTAAATTCTTCTTTACCATTGAACGTAAATTACGCACACTCACCACTATTTATTTACTTAAATATATACCATCGTTATCTAAGTGATTCTTTTTAATAAAATCTATTTATAAATAAAAAAATGTTTTTAGGTATAAATGTATTTATATACTCAAAAATTACTTTACCAAATTACATGGATTTTCACATAAATGTATGAATAATGTTACTTAATCTCAAAAATTTAACACCAAAGTTTAACTTATAGTGTACCGATTTGCTGTGTAATTTGGAAAATTTTATTGAGCCGATAAAATTGAAACAAAACTCGTAAAGTTTTCGGAATATGCCTTTAGAGTCATTGAAAATTGCATTAATTTGTTTAGTTAACTTTAGTAAATTTATCTTCTCGGCGTCAAAGTAAATACTGCTTCAATTGTTCTTTTTTTGTTGCTGAAAAATAGAAAAATCACACCAAAATGAAACGTCATTATCAAAGTACAAACAGACACATAAATATGGTTGTAATAAAAAATTATCTGTCATTGTCCCAGAGATTTAGATACAAAAAATAGAAAATTCTTGACGGTAGAATTTCTTGCAAATAGTGTTTTACTAAGACATATTGTTCGCTAATAATTTATAGTCATTGCGTGGTTAGTGCAAGCGTATAGCAGTGTTTAAACAAGGAGAATAATACATTGAAAAGTGCGTAAAATTCCAGCTACATTAAGTAGCGAAATTTCGAAATGTCGTTCAGCATGGATGGCAACAAGGTGACAGCAGAGGAAGAAATTCAAGGGATTCTGCCTAATATAAGCAGTGATAATGATCTTATTCAAGAACTCAGCTTGGCAAAAGAGACAGCGTGCGGACTGTGGTTTATAAAAGGGAAATTTTTACAAAAATTCGCTAATAAAAAAGCGTACGTGTTACTGTACGGAATTTTAGGTTGCGTGTTTTCAGCGGCCTATGCTTATTTCAATGGCACTATAACTACTATGGAAAAAAGGTTCAAAATTTCGAGCAGAACTGCAGGTAAGTTTCTTAATTTTTTATTTTTTTCTAAAATTCATTAGCTACGAAATTATAGCGACTCGTATCTTCTATTTACATTCATTATAATATTTCATCATTGTAGTTTTCTTTATTTACATCTAACATTTAGTAATAGAGTTATAAATTACATCAATCTCTTTTTATCATTTTTATATATGTAAAACCGAAAACAATCATTACAATCATTAGGTAGGTGCTATTTTAATAAAAATACAATACGAAAAGATAAATATTAACACATTGAAATACCAACAGAAGCTGATGAACTGAATAAACGTTTAATTGTATCTCTATAATTACTATGTTTGCTCACTAATTTACCAACAACTGTATGAAAAATAAAATTAATAAAATCATTGAAAAAGATTCCTTAATATTCCAGGAGTAATATCAGTTGGAAACGACGTGAGTCAACTATTAGTCTCGGCGATTTTGAGCTACTATGCTGGCAGAGGCCACAGACCAAGATGGATGGCTTTTGGCATGTACACTGTGGTGTTGTTCTGCTTAATAACAGCGCTTCCACATTACCTTTACGGAGCCGGTGAAGATGCTCTCTCGCTAACAGAAGAGAATAAGAACAGCAACAACTATTCGACTTACACGAATATGTTCCCGCTGCAGAAAGCCGAGAAACAAGTCTGCAACAGTAAACATACAAGTGTGAACCTTTGCGAGTACGAAGAAGAAAACAGCTCTCCTCAGCTCATACTCTTCCTTGCTCAATTCATTTCCGGAATAGGAGGGTCTCTTTATTACACCCTAGGAGTCTCCTACATGGACGATAACATTAAAAAATCCAAAACGCCTGTTTTATTAAGTAAGATCAGTTGTTGAGTTGCAAATTATTTCGATGTCTTATTGATATTTAGGTTTCACGTATTTTATTAGAATGCTGGGACCAACTTTAGGGTACGGGCTAGCCTCCATCTGCTTGAAGTACTACATAAGCCCAACGCTGACGCCTACCATTGACATACACCATCCGCGATGGTTGGGAGCTTGGTGGTTAGGGTGGCTGATTCTGGCGGTGGTAATATTCATATTTGCCACGCTATTGGCGATGTTTCCGAAGCAGTTGCCCAGAGCTGCGGTGAGAAAGGAGCTGCTGAAAAGGCACATATCCAGACAACCTTCTGTACGTTCTTCGATGAGACAGGAAACTGAATTGCCAACTTCTTTTAATGGTTAAATGAGGTTTTTATTTTAGCACTGTAGAAGTAATTAAAATTTGTGATTGTAGACATGATCAAGACGTTCCGTAGAGTTATGAAAAATCCTATTTTGATGATGAACAATTTCGCGGCGGTTTTCTATTTCTTGGGCTACATGCCTTATTGGATATTCTTGCCTAAATATATGGAAACTCAATATATGCAATCGGCTTCTGATTCGAGCTTGATAACGGGTAGTGTAGGTTTAGTGTTTTCAGGAATAGGAATCCTGCTTTCCGGCGTGGTGATATCCAAATACAAACCCAAAGCAAGAAAATTAGCAGCTTGGAACATATTAGTCGGCATCATATCAGTCACAGGGATCGTATCTTACGCTTACTTAGGTTGCTCAGACATCGACCACAATATATCACTCTTTTCTAAAGACAAGTAAGTATATAGGTTTCATCGCAACTTTTCTATTATATATTGCTTTCAATCGATGTTTGCAGGATGAGCCCCATATCAGAATGCAATTCGAACTGTCACTGCGACTACATGCGATACAACCCAGTTTGTTCGCAAGACGGTAGAACAACGTACATATCGGCGTGTCACGCCGGTTGCCGACATGCTTCGAGAATAAACGGCTCGAACTTATTTTCCGATTGCACGTGTATTAGCAAAAACGAGACGGTCTCTTCCGAAAGGATCACTGAAATCGAAGAGGCGCTGCGGAAGGAGTTCCGCGATGGAAAATCGAAGGGCGGGTTCGCCCTTCCCGGACGGTGCCAAGTCGATTGTTTCACGGAGTTTTACATTTTTCTGTGTGTCGTTTGCTTGTTGAAATTCAGCGGGGCTACCGGACGGGCCTCTAATTTTTTGCTGACGGTCAGGTAATGTATTACATGATGTGTATGGGATAAGAATTAGCAACATTGGAGACTAAAAGCCACTGTTAAATAAGGAAATTGCCTAATATTTTTGGAGTTATTTTAAAAATGTTTCCCTTTAAATGTATCTTTCATAGTTTCGAAGACTCCTTATCCGAGACAAAGCGTATTTATTATTTATATTATAGTTTTAGAACATAATCAAATATAATTTATAGTAATAACATAAAAAAATATATTACAAATATATACACACAGTAACGTATTACTACAAATTTATTTAAAAAATAATTATATTGCACTGACTTAAAACTAATATATCGCATAATAATTCTTAACTATTTACAGTTAGTCGTATAAAAGAATTCATATTAATTGTCAATTTTTGCTTAGGTGTGTAGAAGAAAAAGATAAATCTGTTGCGATGGGTTTCGGGTTGATGTTGATGAGTCTTTGCGCTTTCGTTCCCTCTCCGATTTTGTTCGGAACAATTTTAGGTAAGTTATACTGTTAAGTAACTTGACATAAATTATCAATTTATTTTTTCTATTATTTTAGATAAAGCCTGCTTGTTTTGGAGCAAAGGTTGCACATCAACAGGAAACTGTTGGTTATACAACGGGATATTGCTAAGATATACGATGAATTTCACGGCAGCAACATTCGTATTCATCGGCGTTTTATTCGATGTGGGAGTGTGGTACTTCGTGAGGGATCTGCAGATATTCGAAGAGCAAATCGAGCTGCAATTACAAGAAACTATTAAATAAACCGTTAAGATTAATCGAAGCCTTTTTATTAAATGTTTGTCACTTTCAAAAATTCTGGAACCGGAGCAGGTCTTCTGGGCTGAATGCTACTGGGCGCTATGAGCACCAAATGCTCGTGTTTCGGTCTCTTCGATTTCGTCACGTTAATTTGCGGGCTGACGTGAAGAACGATTTTTCCTTCTGAAATCTTTATAGTCGGATCAGGTTCGCTGTCATCCGAAACATCCACGATGTTATCCGCGAATTTGTACAACGATGACATATCAGATTCTCCCGATGCTTTAGAATTCCTTTTGTTGTTTCGAGAACTCGGTCTCGTATCCGGACCTGCAGCAGCTTGTTCACCTAACTCTGCTTGGTTGATATTATTCTCGGATGCACTTATGGTAGCTGAAGGACTTGGTGATATCGTGGCAGTCTGCAAGGACGGAACCAAATCGCCTTCATCGATGTACGATTTAATCCTGTCTTGTCTCGAATGAGGCCGCTGCAGTCGATTTCTAATCCTTTCGCCTAGCTGTTTGATGAACGGGGAATTTTCCTCCATCGATCGGTGCTCTTCGGAAGTGCCGCTGTTGTTGGAAACCTCGACGTGGATGTTATGATGTCGTTCCGGGGTGACGTGATTGGAAAATTCGGACGAGTAAATATTGAGATCGTTGATGAAGTAAAGCAATACGCACGATATAATTACCCCGCCGAACATTATGGTTATTGTAACTATTGCTATGACAGTCGGAAAATTTTCGGAAAAGTACTGGCAACCCTTTTGGACCTGGATTTCGCAGAATATATCTAAAACGATTACATTTATGAACGATAGAAATAGAAATTTTAACATCGTACTTACTTGCTACGAAATGGTATATCAGTTTAATTGGTATAAATGGGATAATACCTAAAAACGTCAATTCCAAACCTATAGCAGTCGCTTTATATTTAACAGAAACCGATCTGAAAGTAATAAGGAAATTTACTACTATTGTACTGGCGACGAGTCCGTTAATTATAATATTATTGACTTGCGCGAAGGCTAGTACGAATTTGCAGTTATCCTGATCGCAGGATCCTTTTGTAACAATCGCTCCACAACTGCAATCGTGATAAACCTGAAATCAAGTGTACATTTGAAGATATCGCATTTCGTTTAGAAATTTTATTTTTTTCCTTACTTGTGTAGCGACTGAATAATTTTTACAGCCTGCTAAACAGGGTGAAAAGAACGTTTTTCCATCGACGCAAACCGGCTGGAAAGGTTCCGCGTGGGGGCAATTACACTTACTACTGCAGAACGGAATCGTAATGGCGTGCTTATGTTCATTATATATGCCTTTAGTGCAATTCCAAAACATGCTGCTTGCAAATATTATCATAACCAATAAAAATGCTGTTATGTTCCAAATGACGAGATACTTGGCTTTCGGTCTCAATTTCGAAATGATCATTCCACAAGTCACCAAGGATATTGCGACTAACGGTTGCCTGAGTAAATTCGTTGTAAATTGGATTATATCTGGATCTGAATAGCCTGTAGAGTCTTTTATTTCTACAGGTACGTGATACTTGGACTGATTGAAGTATTTTGAAACCAAGCTGAAGTTGGTTAGTGCAGACTGTATGAAAACGAATGACAGTATATTCAACAATAGAATTTTATTCCTTAGTAAAGAGCCCAGTGTTTTGAAAAAACCTGAAAAAATAATATTTTATTGTGTGTTACTGTAACTAGTTTGGATATAGATTCTTACTATGCTCAGTTTCTTCCATGTCGAAGGATACTCTTCCTCCGGATGCGAGGCTAACCAATGAATTTACTGATTTTTTTATTACAAGATTGGGAAGAATTTTAGGAAACATCGCCAACGCCACGCCAATCAAAAATGTTATGATTATCAAAATGATCCAAACTGAAAAAATAATAATAATAAATGTTTCTCTTTATAACAAAAGTTTCAACGTTCAATTGTCACACTTTCTGATTGTTTTATTTTAAAATAATTGTAAACCTATGTGGACGATTCAATTAATAAAGATTTTCACGGTGAGTACAATAATTATGACTAGGCTCATTTTTTGAAATTCCTATTGCATAAAAAACAAACTGATGTAATAAAATAAATTCTTACAAATAAATGTGAATAAAAAAATACATACTTGGAGATGAAAAAATAGAAAATAATGTTAGTACATAAGGAATCCAAGCGAAATATATGCCGACTTGTTTTCCGAATTCTAGAGTAGCCAGCGACAAACCTGAAAAAAATAAATAGTAATTTTTCAAATACAACGAAAAATTGTTTATATTACCTAACAAAGCTGGACTATGTTTTGAAGATATGTGGTCATCGATGTAAGACAATCCAAGAGATATATAGGCTACAGTCACCATGCTGAATACAATTTGGAAAACGAAAAAATAGCCGAATGTTACTTCATTAAATCCCTCTGAATCTAGAAGATCTTTGGTAAAAACCTCTTCATTTTCAGTATCGCAAAGAGCTGGACCTAAAAGTTTCAGTTACTTAAACAATTTTTTAAGAAATAATGCGAATTAAATTTATTACCTTTGATAGCGCTGGTTATTTCAACTTTTGTAAAAGGATTATAAATTTCTGGTATGGCCAAAATACCCCCTGCTACTGCTATAAGCATTGTTAGAGCACCTATCCATGTTGCTCTGTGAATTCTATTACCCCAATATGATATACATAAGGCAAATATTCCTACGAATATCTCGTTAAAAAATACGAACCACTCTAAAAAAAAACAATTTTACTTTAGTAATTTATTATGCACTTATGTGATAAATGTTCTTTTCCGAATGCTAAAGGTGTAATCATTAAAATTATGAATAGTCTATGACACAGTTTTCACATCATTGAGGAAGTTTTAAGTGAAAAATGATAGTAAAACCTTTCGCAACATTATGTGGGTCTAAAATTGTTACGTTGAAAATACAAACTACTTTTGAATAATCAATACATTGTATTAAATTAACTGGTCAGGTTCTAATTGGCAATAAAATAATTGGAGCACTTACCTTCAACAAAACTTGGGAAATTATAATGAGAGAACCACAAATGCGAGGTCCCTTTGAAATATGTACTAATAATACCTTGCACTAATCCCAGAAGTGATAACACAATAATAAAAACAGAAAGGTTCGCGAGTTTTTGCAATCTCAACCTTTGCGTCAGGCACGGTAAAGCTGTTATACCGCAATCAATATCATTAAAGTAGTTTCCCACAGGAGCTGAAAATCCTTGATCCCTTTCAGAATCCGATCGAAATAAATTCGTAGGATGTACCATTATTAAAACTAGCACATCATAACAACACACATCTAACACAGGTTAGCACCTGTTTGATTCTCTCTCTCTGGAAGATAATTGTGTCAAATAGATAACGAGGCGAACGATAAGATATAATAAAACTTTTCAACGAAATGTTGCGAACACGACGGTAACTATCCTGTGACTCAATTTACAATGAACAATTTTTTTTTAGTCATAAAAACGATAAAGTAATTTATTTAAAGTCAATTATCAATCATTTTTAAAATAATTTAAGATTAACGTTTTCTTTCGGATACGAAGAAATTCAATTATAAGACGGAATTAAAAAGAATATAATAAAATTAATCGATAAAAATTTATGTACAGGGAAAAGTGTTAAAACAATCACGATTTACATCTATATTTCAAAAACTCTGCACAATAATGTTACATTATCAAAGAGTTCTTTTACTTCAATTATATGCTCGAATTATCTAATGCAATAAAACTGCTATTTATCGTAAAATTCCATCGATTTTTTTATAAAATCTAACGGTTTCCTTTCCGTTAATTTCAAATTCGAATTGATTGCTCATTGTACAATTACTCCGTCTACTATGAAGTTTATCAATGGTATCATCCGCGTAGGAAGTTATTAATTAGTCAGGCTGTTATTAATTACGAATATATGAAATGATTTTAGCCGGATTTTTGTATTTTGTGTATTCGTAATAATATTTTAATTACCCGTAATTCGTAGGCATCAAACAATTTTCGGGATATTAATTGAAATTAAGTTGATATCAAATATTTCATTAGCTTAATGAAATAAGGGAAATACCGTTTCATAGATGTAAGTTTTTGAGGTAAATATGAAATTTTGTTGAGTAATCTAATTACGGGTATCGCATCCCTTGCCTGAATTGCATAAGCGGGGGGTATCGTCAACTTTCATGCTTCTGAGCGGCGACATTCTGAAGCCACCCCTATGAGGAAAATTAAAGATAAAAGGATTTCGGCGATTTCATTTCCACTTAGGGTTATCCTGAAAAAAGCAAACATTTAGGTTCAACCCTCAAAATAATAATCAAAGGCTTTCGAGCTCGAAGAGGACACGTAAATCAATTGAATGTTTGCTTCATTTTTTTTCTGGTTAGTTAGTGTTTGGCTTTATTTTCGTAATGCATTACTTGATTAAATACGTCAACAAAGTACATATGATTTAGACGGGAGGAAATCTTTTGATAATGCAGCTAATTAATTTTTCTTAAAAAAATTTAAAACTTCAAATATAATTCTTTATCAAAGACAAGGGTTAATTGGAAAAGTGCCTCAGCCTTTATCGAATCTTTGACGAACGACAAAAATAATTGAGTTTTAGCGCAGTTGATAGATAAAAAGCTTCTGTGAAAGAGTGAAAGGTATTAAAATTACCAAGCACATATCCCTTGAAAGATGTATGAATAATAAAATCTGTCAATTACAAAGACTCGAAATTTTCATTTTATTATGCACATACTTTTAAACATACTTCGGCATGATAGTAATATCATCGATCTATTTTTACTTACAAGCACCGTTACCAGATGGCCTCATTTCGCGAGCGTCGAATCCTGTGGGTTACTTTATTAGGGTCACATTTTCGACAAGAGATAGCGCTCGCTACTTTATTATATGCATAATTATCATTTTCCTTTCATCCCTGTTTTTTATATTCATAAAGTACTTTTTTACATAACTTACAAGACGTATATTTTCTTACATTACTTATATAAGTTTCTTACATTTGCTGGTTTCTTAACATTTGGGCATTGAACTCCATTCAATTTAGGAGGAATGAGAGTTGAACTGTATTTTATTTTTCTATTAAAAATAATGCGATCAGTGCGCCTATTTAGAACTGAAATAATATACTACGAGTAATTATCTTCGTGATAAAAAGAAAAGCATGGATGCTATTATGACAAAATAATTATTGTATTATATGGGTACTTTTGCAAATAGCCCGCATAATTCTTTATATAAACTTTGTTCTCCGTACTTTCACAAATTATTGTTAAGTTTACTCTTGAAGAGGCACAGTGTGTATGTGAAGTGGTGAAAACACGTACAGAGTAATAATAATGCCGTTGAATATATCAGAAGAATGTAAGTACATATTTTTAATTCCCATCAATTCATAATTACATAGAGTGCCTATATACTGTAATTTCTTTGGATAAAAGTTTTAATAGACCAAAGACGTAAATGCCTTTAAAAATCATTAACTTAACTCTTATTTTGAAAATTTACAGTGACTGCAACTTTAAACAACACTCTCCATCGACAGCCAAGATTTGGATATATCCCGCTGTTTGGACTTCTCCTAGCTAATATCCTATCAAACAACGTTCTAGCAAAATACGGTCCTATCGGTGCTCTGAAATTAAGTTACGAACCTCTACCATGGCTTCACAAACCGAACCACGAAAATTACCACTATTACCCCGTTGGTAATTCCTACGGGCCACATGCAGTAAGTTCTTCAGAAGCATCTGATCAGCACATTTATCATCATCACCACATTCCTGGCAACACGCAACAGCAAATCGTGAACATCCACGAAAGACCTACGGAAATAATAATCGGTGATGCGGAGCCAGAGGGCAGTGGCAGTACCGATCAAAATGACACGAGTTCACCGTTAGTAATCATCGACGACAAACCTGAGATACCGTTGTTTAAAAACACCTTAGAAAAACCGACGCAGAAAGTCGTTTTGCCCGAATCTCGGTCCATACCGTCCGAATTGTTGGCGTTTTTATCGAATTCCTCAACTCCAGCATCTAGAAAAGTTAAAAGAGGCACCAGTAAATACACAAAAACGCGAAAAAATAATAAGTACATAACCCAGAAGAAAAGGAAACCAACTACAACGCCAGATTATTATTACGACAGTTATGAAGACATTACCACAACTAAAAAGTACCAACCGAAGAAAAAAGTACAACACAGAAGACCTATAGTAGATTCTTACGAAGAAAGTGAAAGTAGCCTAAGTCAAAGTTACAGTGATCTCAGTGATAACAGTCGTGAATACGATTATGACTCCTACGAAATAACCACCAAACCGCACAAAAAAAGAAGACGTACTTCCACGACTTCCAGTACAACCTTCAGACCTAAAAAAATCAAAACCAAATACGGAAACAGGAAACACCACAGAGTAGGTTCGTTCGAAGATGACGATTTCGAATACGAAACGGAAAAATTTGATGCCACGAGCACCACAACTGAATCGCTGAAATTGCGTCACCAAGAATTACTTTTAAGACAACAAGAACACCTCCAAAGGCAGCAGGAAGCGTTGTTGCGGCAACAAGAGTTCTTGCAAAGACAACAGGGAGATACTACAACTGAGGCAGCTTCAACGTCCACTTCAAGTACATCTTCATCTTCGACGACACCTTTAACTACAATACTGGTGAATGGTACCCTTCCGGGTGGTGCCAATAATACTAATACTACAGGATACGGTAAATTAAATGTCTTTTTGTGCTAGTTTATTTCACACATTTCTTTTATTTCACCACAGGATATGGCCCATCAAATGGTTACGAAGGCATTAGCATAACTTACAGTCCTGTAGGCGAAACGGGTGGATCTGGAACTGGATTTTCCCCTTCATTTCCTGTAAATGGTCCAGCTTCTGGTCCTGCTCCTGCTCCTTCTCCAAATCCTACATATGGCGCTCCGGTCTACAAGCCTCCTAATCCATCATACAGCCCACCGAGTCCATCCTATGGACCTCCTAGTAACACCTACGGTGTTCCTGGCACTGGATCAGGTTATAACAACCAAAATGGCCACGGTTACTACCAATTACCTTTCAATGATTGGTATAGCAACGAAGTAAGCAGGAATTCCATCGTAAAAAAAGTTCATGATATTATAGGTTTCGAACACGTTTTCTAATAGCTTTAGTTCAAACACGTTAACACGAACAAATTTTAAATTTATAGTTCAAATTTAGGAATTAGTAATCTATAAAATCATCTAGATAATCATTAGGGAGGTTGGTGTACAATAAAAACTATTTAAATGTTCGTTTTTTTTATAAAGTATGTACATATTTATATTCTGTTAATATAAGTACCTACCTACAGTATTTTTAATTTGTTTGAAAAATATAATTAAAATATTTTGGTTCCTTTGCAATAAATACGCTAATCTGACAAGTAAAAGTTACACAGCGTGCCAAAAAAATGGTGCCAACTACCGTCGAATAAGAAACTATTTGTGCCATAAATTCAATGGTATATTTAACATTGCGTACATCGATTTAAAAAAAAACGTTAGAACAAGCTTCTGGAAGGTTTAATATGAATTAAATGGGCAAATAAATGAATCGCGAAGTGATTTATTAATATAATATATCCAAGTACATCCCTGGAACAAACGTGTGCCATATTAAAAGCATCTGTGAAGAAATCCTCCAAATGAATCATATGCGCACATACGTTTCAGAAATGTTCCGTTTAATTTTAAAAATCGTTAATCATATTCTTATTGAAACAATCTCGCTATACTTAAAATATCGATAAGAAAAATCGGATAAAGCTCATATTTTCTCTTTGAATGATAACGATATCCATCAGATTTTTATTTTTTGCTTCAGTGATGCAACAAAATCAGGACATAAAGGTTATTTTGTGTTATTTTCAAGCTGAAAAGTCTTTCGTCACTCAGTTAGCAAACACAAATAATTAGCATTGTATTGTAACGTCATAAAATCTTTAAATATCCCGAGCTGTAAATAGTTTCGACCCATTTATTGACGTTATTTAACTGTCACTGCCAAATTTTCAACTTTTTAAATGTTTATACAAAAGATATCAATTTTTCACTGGATAATGCTTTATCTTCCTAAGTAGGGTGTAAGAGACAAGGAATCATCTGTTATCTTTCATAAGAGTTAATTAGAATATAAAATAATTTTATCATTAATCAACTAAATAAATATACTTTTATAGGTGAATAAATTTGACAAACACGAAGTAATTGTTTATAATAGGTTCATTACGGCAGGATGTAATGTTATTAAAGTGGTACTTACAACCCCTGTTTACTTCCGGTTCTCTACAAAGACAACCGGATGAAATTTTGGCATCCCTTCTAATGAAATTTCAACGAAATTGCGTGTATAAAAAATCGAAAGAAAATATACAATTTTGCAGTTTTTGCATCAAAAGTATATAACAAACAATTGTTGAATTTAAAGTAGCAATTATTTATACAAAATATAGCTCATAAATGCTTAATTACGAAGGTTCAATCAACGAGCAAAATCAACATTTTAGTCGAACTAGAAATAAATCTTTCAGCGAGGAAACTCACGTTGGCCGAATGTACGTTTTCTATATTTGAAAACAACGCATTCGAAACGATTAATTTAATATAAAAGGAGATATTAAAGATACGAGAATAACACAAACAAAAATTTTATTATCCATCCATCAGTCCGCCGATTTTAAAAATAATCCTTTTCTGTTTTTTTTTAATGGTATTCGTAAGTAAAAGAAATTCACTGTGACAGCTGAGACGAGGCACATGGCGTGTGGGTTAATTACCAATTGCAAAACTGTGCTAAGGCAGTAAATCCGTTTGTTATTTCGGGCATGGAAAGAAGGAAGTAGGAATATTGTGTGTCGCCTCTGATGATCACCATCGGACTATACGGGAGATTTTAAATTCTATTTTCGTGGACCCTAGATTATTAGGAGCAGGAACAGCTGTTGCCCGTTTATCAGGCTTCCAACTATTTCATTTGACTAGTTCTCATTACACAGCTTGCCGACAGAGAACAAGTACTTCCCCTATGCTGTATTTTATGAAATGTAATTAATACGCGCCCTTTCACCCCTTCGATTTTGTCCACATTATTAACCTATAGTAGCTGTAACAATTTATTCGATGCATTGTGAAAAAATTCTCCTACTCAATAAAACTAGTAAACTTTTCTTTAATATTTTATCGAGCATTAGAAAGGCGTTGAGGTTTAGCGGGAAAACTTCATTTTCTCCCTATTTGTAGTCAATTTTTCATGCGGTGCGTGTTGAGTATTTGTAGCTTCGGAACTGAGCTGTTTCCTGAAGTTATTGACCATTTCCTGGGGAATTATTATCAGAAAGAACACGGGAGTATTCTAATTCGACACGTCAGGCGACTTGGTTATTATGGAAGCAGATTTGTTATCGGAATTAACCGATATTTCTAATTTAACATGAATGTATTTTAAGTAGATTATAGTTTATTGTTATTGAAATATTATTACAAATGGAGGATCAAACAAAAAATTTCATCTATTCATCGATTAAAATATAAAACAAAGGCAAACAAAGAGAAATGTAACCTAATAGTATGTGGTATTTTGGAATTGCACTTATTATATTGCATGTCCAATAAAATACAATGTGTGTTTATACAGGGTAATTGATGTAGATCAAAATTCAAGAATTTTTTTTTGGAAGTTGTAAGAAATATTTCGTGTAATCTTAAATGCATCAATATCGTTTTATTTCGCCGTTTAGATTTTATGTGCTCCTCTCGGTTGTTTTCGAATGCACCCTAATAAATCGGCCATGCTTTATCTCTTCGGTCTTTCGCTGCACGAGCGTTGCGAGGGGGGTCACATTTGGGAACCTCATGAAGTGCCGTACGTCGTGCATCGTGCAGCATACATCCAGTAGATTTGCGGCGTCTAAGTCCTAGAATATAGGGGTGCAAATTCTAGGGAAGGGGTGCCGTATGCCACATGACCAGGTGTGCGTTGCCAACTATCAGAATACGACAAGCGTAGATCATTGGAAAATATTACAAATATTGTGGATTTGTGATAACAAAGGCTTAATTTTTGCTATCGATTTTTACATTTGTGGAAGAGATACCTAGTTAAAATTGCTATAATTTCAGCCACATTTCACATGTCGTGTCTGCATGCTGATAAAAAAGAAGATAAATATGAATATTACGAGTAGCTTATATACTTCTTACAGGGCAATACGTTAATTTAAAAAAAATATATAAAATATTTTTTATAATCCAAGTAAATAAATTAAAACTTGTGTAGTTATTTCTAATAATATCTATTAAAGGGTTCAAAATAATAAAATTATTGAATTTGGTGTACCTATAATTAAAATTTAGCATAAAACGTAGTAAATAGGAATTTTTGACGAATCAGAGGCAGCTAAAAACAATCGTTTTGTATTAGTAAAAAAATCAGTAATCCCAATCCAGGAGGCGCGTGTACAAAAACAGACGAGCGACGAGTGGTAACAGAGAATACGAGCTACACACACACACACACACACTCGTAAGTACACAAACATCGTATAGCCCGAGTTCATTCGAAAATACAAAGCGCTAACGCGTAGTCCGTGTGTGGAATAGCGCTCGAGCTCCGAGCCCTTAGTTCAGTTGATCGCAGATAGCGGATAGCGCGCTTATTTTATTTCGGCTATAGTAGTTTCCGAGACTTAGCATCAGCGATCAGCGATCCGTGCGTCGAACGGAACAGCTGTATAGGTGTAGAGCAAATCTAAAATTAGTAGAGTGGTTGGTTTGGTTTAGTTCGATTGCGCGCCTCACCGAGAGCACCACGTGTAATTCATCCACCAGTGACTTTATGTGGCTGCCCGCACCGGCTTACATATGCGAGATCGCAAGAGTACCTTTACCAAGGAGTACATAAACAACATTTTCAACCCTTTGACGCGACCGACCAGGCCTACTTCTAGACCGGACAATCACGGTACAGCTCGTGTTGCTGAAGAGCAGCGCGCAGCACTTTCGGACGCAGAAGAGCAAGTCAAGATGCTGATGCCCAGTGCTGGAATCGCGGCTTCCACCGAGACCGATAGTCTCGTTGGGGGTTTGGGTACTCTGGGTGTCTTGGGGGCCGCTGGTGCCCTCAATGGCACCGGCGTCCAGAACAAGGATACCACCTGGACTAAGCTCTTCGTCGGTGGTTTACCCTACCATACTAGTGATAAGTCACTTAGAGATCACTTCGCCGTTTACGGCGACATTGAAGAGGCTGTGGTTATTACTGATAGACAAACTGGAAAAAGTAGAGGATACGGATTTGTAAGTTCCATTTTTATATCCACATAGAATAATAACAATTTCAAAATTTATTTATTTATACAAAATATTGCTATCTAAAATTTTACTACAAACGTCCTATAATAATGTTCTATACAAATAATGAACAAAAAACTTTGTCATGTGTAAAAATCAAGGCCATTGCGAAACTTTACAGATTATAAATTCAGTTTTTATAAAACTTTCGCATCATTTTCCAAGTGTTTTCCAATCAATTAAAACGTAAATAGATAACCCTTAAAATCGAAAATGAAAATATTCCAAACACAATTATCAACCAATTCAAACCGTGAATGCTCCAGAGAGGAATTTTCGAATCACTGTAAATTGTTTAAATTGATTAACATTTAAAATATTATTCATTTTCATATTACAAAGGACATGAAAATTAAAACATTCTTTCATTTCGTTTACAATAAAACATTTACAATTATTTTAAAAACTATAGATACAGCTTAATTCTACTCTTACTTTTATCTTTAATTCATTAAAATTACTAATGTTACATATGAAATGAAACTTCCATAGAATGTGAGTAGGTATATTTTTGAACACTAATTAACCCATTTTTGTACAAATTATTCAAAACGAGAATTTACATATAGCCGATAAGAAATCGAAGCCGTATTTAAAGTAGGTACTGTTTAATTTATCGTACCGGCGATTAAACTAAAAATTATCCTTGAATGTTTGTAAGTTCGAATAATAGACAGGCGATAATAAAAAGCTTGCAGGGTATGCAGAAACATTGCAGAAGCTTTGTTGATTTAGAAATTCAGGAATATTAGCTTCAGCCAGATTTCGTTTATCTAATCGAAATTTGGCAAGATAAATAAATACAACGATGTAATCGTTTGTTAAATAGTCGATTTTACCAAAATTTGCGGAATAATCTATTTAATTAATTCTTTATTTGTTCTCTTGCTTTGGCCAAATGAACTGTCGGATATTTAATAGAGCCAGGCAGTTTATTATTTTTCGCCTCCAGAACTCATGGATAGCTCGAAGAGAAAATACAATTTTTATAAAAAAAACCCTCGAATTGGTATCGAATAATTGTGAGGTCATTTACCTGCAAGGAACTATAATAAAAGTGAAAAGATGAGGGACCTAGGGCATGCATGTGAAAGAAAAAAAGGTCGTACGCCACCCGGCAGACAAAAAATATAAAAACAGCGGAATCCCTCTCTCTACCGTTACAAAGAAGCATAGACAGCTGCTAACTTCCCCCCGGGTTCGACTACACTATACAAATAACAGATCTCTTATATCATATGCACCCGAAATCGTAAATTGTTGAAATTAATTTGTCGTGAAATTCTGCTTTCTGATTGTATCGATACGAAATAGTTCGTATAAAAATTACAGGGATGTGATAACTTCTAATCGATATTTAAAATTTATTTCTATCCCTACATACTGTTCGGTGCAAATTTGTCACGACAACGTATCTCGAAAGTTATTTAAATTCATTTTTGTTGATATATTTTAATGACGTGTGTATGTTTAATTAATTGCTTATTGTTTATTATTTCACTATGAAACAGTAATAATGGCAGTTGTAGAATTTTAGAAATTATTCTATAATTTACGCGCAAATGCTTTTCTGCTGCATGTAAAGCAAGGATTAATATTTGCTGCTCGATACGTAACAAAAGCACTTCATAAAAGTTTAATTGTTACAAAAGTGCATCCAGAAATAATTACACCTAAACCCTAATAATATATTCATTATAGTCATTAGTAATCTATTGGAAACTGTGATTGATTGGTTAATTGAACTTAAGCACTACTACCGTGGAATTATTAGTTCAGTATTTTGCTGCTTCAAGAAACTACCTAACTTTTCTTGAAGTGAAGCCTTTGAGTGATTACACTCAATTGAATTCAAAATGCCCATGTAGAATTAAACAAGTATGTGAACATTACGCTTAAAAATATTTCGTCCTTAAACTTTCTATTGACCAGTCGTTAGGGAGGACCACACATATATTAGATGAGGCAATTCAATATTTACTTAATTGCCTCACTTTATTTATTATTTATACCGAAATGCTAATGTTTACCTGATCTAATCAAGTTAAGTGTTTCCGAACCGTTGTTGTATATTTTTGGATTTTAGTAACTACCTATTATTTATCTTTATTTGCATACGATAATCAATAAAGTTGTTTTTTTGTAATGTCCAAAATTCTGTAGCAACCCCGTTTGGCGTATTGATTAAATTTAGAAGACAATTAGAGGTTGGAAGAACTTTACTGAACCTTTTTTTAATTACCTACTTCTAATAGTTATAGTTGAGTTCAGTCGAAAACGGCGAGTAATCCCCATTACTCTTACCACTGTGCTTTGATCTTAAATCTTTGAAGTCGGCTTAAAAAGTATTATCGCGTGCAACTAAATCGTACTTTTTATAAAATTAATTAAATCCATGCTCTTTATAAACTCTGGATAGACATTTAGTGTTAATATGAGGAATTTAAAAAATTACCTCTTTCAGAAGAAATATTCGATTTTTGTCGATCCCTAAAGGTTTCACTGTCAAATGAAATATGTATTGGTCTTGTAAAAGCGCTACTATAGTGTTAGTACCTTATCTCTTTTTGAGTTATTTTCTACTTATTTATTTACCTATCTTATCGTAGCGAAATAGTTATTTTACCTACCTGGGTGTCGTGTTACAATCGCGAATATGTCCATTTATTCGCACAAATATTTATCTATTAGTTCGGTAATAAAATTTTATGAAAACCTCGAATTAATAATTCAATGCAAAAGGTAAGAAATATGTTCGGTATGACGTGTAATAAATACATTTTACTCATCGAATAATGTGTAATATGTTACCAATTTTTCAACTTTGATTCTTCCAAGAAATTGCTATATGAACAATGCTGGTGCGCATTCGAAACGTTGTTTACATTTGTGTTGGAAAATACATATATATTTAAATAATTGTTGTTGTATTCATTTTTGACGTTAAAATTTTTGAGCGTTATTTTTTTCTTTGCAGGTAATTATGGGCGACCGAGCGTCAGCAGAACGAGCATGTAAAGACCCCAATCCAATTATAGATGGAAGAAAAGCTAATGTAAATTTAGCGATATTAGGAGCAAAACCTAGAGGAAATGTTCCAACTGGTATGCATTATTTCTATTATACAAATAATTTATCCGGTGCTGCCCTATCCAGTGCTCTTTTAGTTGATTTTGTACAATAATGTGGGTTTGTTTCTTATACTTTTTCTCTTCTTGTGGATAATCATAATTTGATTACTAAACCACTAAATTTAAATTCGAGCTCGTTTTCAGCAAAACATGCTTCGTCGACTGCCATTTAATTTTTTTATTTTCATAAGAATCTGTCATGAAAAATAAATCATAAATTTTGTTTATTTTGTTTTATGCGATTTCATTTGATAATTGGCACGCGTCCAGTACATTAGTTCCTGAAATTGAACCAACGAAGATTTTTACAAAATTCAAAAGGAACGCATTATTAACATATTAAAACGCACAGTTTTTTAGAAAATTGTGGATCGTAATGTCGTGAAATTCGATTGGCCGTCGAACCGTAACGTAAGAGCCATCTGTTTCGAAAAAAGCATGGCACGGGGCATAGGGTTTTTATTTTTAATTTTAAGGCCTCCAGGTGTTCGAAAAACGAGTACTGCTCGAGTACGACTAGGCACGGGCAGAGACCGGTAAACTGCACCAACATGGATTCCTAGTCACCCCTCTTCCTGTGATATGGCACACCCGGACATCCGCATATGTCGCAACCAACAATCCGTTCATATACAGATTGTCCGTTGGAAATTATGCTCGTTGCGCGCATTTTTGTTAATTATTTCATATTAATAATTTTTTGCAGGATTCCCGTTTCCCAGCGTGAGAGCAGGAGCGTATCCGGCCCTTTTGCCCAGTCAATACGGGTAAGAACTAAAAATACTAACACGTTGTGGTATTTTGTGCACAAAACAAGTGCAGCACTGACTAAATCACCAACCGATCGTAATGATATTTCATATTTTCTAGCTTCATATGTCATGAAGACAGTTGGTGATTCGTATATCCATACAATTGTATTGACATTTGGCAGAACATGAGATCCCGACTTCTCAAACACTAAAATGTAAACAGTTAGTTATTTCGATGAGTGTTTGTGAGTGTGCGTGTTATAATTTTATTTTTTATTAGTTATTGAGTTACACTATTAAAAATGTTAGCCGAGTATTCGATGAATCGTTAGAGAAAGCCCCAGGTATTGCCAAAAGAACACTCTCTTCTACGCGACTATTCGATGGAGTTTCTTGGATTATTTGTAATTTTTGATTGAGATTATCGAATTGAATAGTTGCTTGAGAGTATCTTTTCTACTAACGATTGTACGAATACGAGTTGCACGATGTCCGCCACCCGCGCTATTTTTTATTAAATACTTTTCTAATTACATAAAATCTATTAGATATCATACATCTAAATCGGCATTTTCTTTATTTCTGTAATGTTCGATTCATTCATATTTTGTCATAAATTTTGTCTTTCCTCAAATGTTCAAAATATCGAATTAATTTGTTTTCAATATTTCGAAAAAAATTCGACAAATTGCGTGCGTTATAATCAATATTGAAATTTATAAGCAGTGACAAACTCGACGAATAATAAATTTCCAACTTTATATCCAACATTTCATCTAACAATATTAAAATTATTGCTAAATAAAAATTTAAATTTGGTATAAATAATAAACGAAGATACTTCATTCCTACTTTATACCCATAAATTCATGGATAATTTTCACATTTCTTTAGCAACATTCAAATATCCCTTACACATAAATGCGATAATAAGAAAATACAAAAATGTCTAGTCAACATTATTTATTCTAGGAACATTTTACTGAGGAGAATTTAATTAGCAAGGAACAAACGATATCGGATGGCGGACGACAGTCTTACTGTTTGCTGTGAGGTTTTTCGTTTTTTTTTATTTTGGGCTGATTATATTTTGATGTTCGTTTACTTTTTTCTTACAGTAACTCACGACTGCAGTGTAACACTAATGCGACACTAACTGATAAATGTCGATGTGCTTGGTTCCATTAACCTGGGGTGTGTTACAGTGCAGCCGGTGGTGGAGGTCATATCTGTGATGGTAAAATCCTATCAACCATCGAATTGTTTCGAATAAATTTTAAACACAACACAATTCTGGTCGCCTCTAGCATTGTTGCCTTTAGGGTATTTGTTGTACCCCCTTCGAAATTGCATTTGCTTCCATTTCTTGCCCAAATGAAATTGCCCAATTTCATAACCATAGCCCAAAATCAATGTCTTATAACCTATTTCTTAATATTATTTTTACGTCGAATCTCAAGTACGAATCAAAACCTTAAGTTATTTCTGTAAAAATTTATGTCCAAGGATAGCCTTCTTCTAAAATTAGATGAAAGTCTTGTCAACCAAATTTACGACCTTTGTTTACAACAATCCATTGAAGACACTTATTTCTCCCAAAAAGAACGATGTACAAAATATGGAGCAACTGTTAGACATAAATTTCACTTGCTTAACATAATTTTCATGAACAATTTTAAGTGTTTTTTTTTGTAGAGGCTAGTGTTTTTTTTTATTAATTACCATCACGATTTGGTTGCGAGTGAGTTTTTCGTGTGCTTGAGCGATAGAGTGTTTTCTAAAGCGCGGTACGCGGTTTCCTGATGCATTTAGTGACTTAACCATATCTTTCTTCTCATTGTAAACACTTTATTTTTATAGGATATATGCGGAATTGATTAAATTGCACTGTAACTGAAGTTAAAGGTGATGTGATAATAATTATTATCAATTAATTTATTAGATTAATTGATAACAGTCAGCGATTTTTAATTTTCTTGTTTGAAGCATGGCTAAATCACGCTTGTTTTCAAATTATTTGTTTAATTTGACTAATCTTAAAAAATATAAAAATGCTCTTGAATTGAAACGTTGTATTTAACATCCTTAAACTTCAGTTGTTACTATTTAGTTGATTTATTTTTTATTGTTGGCAAATTTGGATATCTATATAAGAATGGTTTTTGTCTCTATTTGCTCATCGGTTTTCTTAGGTAGCTGCGTAGACATTTTTCTGACACCCTAGTTATTTGAATCTAATAGCACACTATTACACTTGAAATTATTACTACTAACTAATATGCAAACCGATTTTTTCTAGTGTTTGAATTTGACTTGACGATATTTTGCTTAGGGGAATTTTTAGTGTGGTTTTACGATTTAAACATCACTAGATTTTAATTTGGGTTTGAATTTATACACCGGCCAGAGGTTTTTTTATCAACCTAGAGAATAATGGGTATACTAGATTAAATTTAACAAATCGTTCTTGGACTGCACTCAAATTTTTCTATAATAATAGTACAAAATAGTCTAATATTTCACATTTTAAATACCTACTTATATTTTAAAAAATTAATCAGTCTGCGAAGGTTGGGCCAATCTAAATATACTCTTCGTCGTGATTTATTCATTTTTGTTTCACTCATGAGTTTTATCAATAGCTAAATGAATAAAAGAAACTTCCTAAATATTATTACTTAGGTAATGGTGATTGCAGAGTGTAACGATGAATTCGTATTAACCAAATTCTAGAACGAATTCGTTCGTCGGTAAAATTTTGCAAATTTGCTACAAATCGGTTATTGTATTCCGAAAATAGTACGTTTATTTATTTTTAGTTAAACTCGTTTTAATTGACAACTCAAGTCTGCGTTGTTTGCACATGGATATATTTCCAGTTAAAACGTGTTCCACTTGACATCGATTTGCTATTTGTAAAATATTTATAAACGTCGGTGCAGGTGGTGAAAATCGAAAAATCATTGAAGTTTACCAAAATATAACTAATGATTTCTTCCTACTTGTTTGACACTTCTATCATTATTCGACGAAATATCGACATATATTTTTAACTAGCTAAGCCTTAAATGATATCGTTAAATAAATGTTGCATGGAAATAGATTTTGGCCAGGCCGGACCTGTTATTCAGTTAACCAGTGGCGTGTAGAATGTTGGCAGGCTTTTGAAACGCGTAGGTGTCTCAGAATCATCTAAATGTCACTGCTGACAAGGCAAAGAATGCTCAACAGCTGCCCAGCGAGTGAATAAACGAGGATAGCTATAGCGTCGCGACGCCTTGCGTATATTCCGAACAACGGGACAACGAGACACTTTTAGACGCTTAAAATAAAACCCAATAGATAATCTGATGAAAAGAGCTTATTTATCGTACCTTTGCTCTTATACAGCGCGCTTTTTTTTACCCCGCGACTAGACAATTTATGATGTCAGAAAGTCCAATGACTTTCGGAAACTTTACGGTTACAAAGAATTCCTAAAATAGATATATTTTCAACGTTTGTGTCTTCTTGTTGATTAAAAAAAATTGAATTTAGGCCTTGTGAAAATACATGCTCTGTTATCGATAGGTACTAAGTAAATTGCCACCTGGAACCCAAATCTAAATTTATAGTTTTTCGGATTTTAGTTAACAGCCATTTAGTTATAAAATTAGCGGTAAACTATATATTTTTTAGAAGGCGGAAACGTGCTGTTCACTAACCATACGAAGTGCGTCATCATTGGACGTACTTCGTGAATTATGTATCGCCCAAAAATAACCAGAAAATTAATTGCAGCGGCTTTTGCTTCAGCACGCGCTGCTCCGAGTCTCTTTGACACTTTATTTTAAATATAGAAACAATTTTGTCACCACAGCTCCCCCTTACGTGGTTTTCGACTGCCTGCTCGCGCGACATCGAAAATAGACTGTCACCAAAAATAAAAAAAAATACCGTTTCTTAACCCAAATAGCTCCGTACTTTGACTTCGGGGAAAGCAAAAAAAAATTAACGAAGATTAAGTCGATTTTTTATGATCTTATTTAGTAAGTGGATTTTAAATTTAAGCTCGTTCAAAACAAATTTTTCGTAATTTTATCTTGACGGTTTAATTTGCAATGAAATTTTTAACAACTGTATCTTTTATCCTGGTATATTAAGAAAATAGAAATTTGAAAATCTTGACACGATAGGTATTGTTGCAAAACGCTTCAATTTCGCCACGAAAATATTAAAGCCTTTTATATCTAAAAAGAGAGTGGCAATAAAAGGGTAACTCATTTTGTAAGGTAAAACATACCCTGTATATAACAAAAAGATTAAAAATATCTACTATGTTTTTATTCTTCATATACAACAACAAATTTCCTGAGTTGTTTTCTTTACCAAAGCTTTTTATTTCGCCTAGCTATTAGCGAAAAGCAACGTAAAACGAATAAATAGCATTAATTATTTAGAAATATTTGGTCATTAAAGGTGTTGTTAACTCGAACGAAGTGCGGTTTTTAATTTGTTTAGTTGATTTAGCGGGCGCGAAGGCGTTTCTCTTTAGGATAGCTCATCGCCATTGGATAATCTTCGCGCAAATCCGGGCTAAGTTGGAGGCTAATGACGTTTGCGCCGCCGTTGCTGTCCCGGATTTCTCGATTCCGGAACACTATTGACCCATGCGGCCCATTTGGGCCGTGGCCGCGTAGGAGATTTTCTTCCAATCTCTCTTACACTGGGATAGAAATGGGATTATCGCGCACATTTCAGACGGTCCCGAAACGCCCTCAGGATTCGCATTTATTTTCGCGAGTTTCTGCTTTCCGCGAATTATTGTTGTTTCGGTGTGTGTGGCTGCCAATGAACGAATAATTCTCTTTGAAATTACAGTCATTACGGTCGGATTTAACCATTGTCAATCTATTAAATGTTCTCTGTCGAATTCAGACAAAAGTTCCATCTTCTTGGGCAGCAGAGCGCGACCGCTCGTTACGATTAATATCCTGTTTATTTTTCGCATGTGCAATATGGGCTATGATAAAATGACGAACAAATAAATCAAATTAAATTCTGTTGTACTCCAGACTTGAAATTGTTAAACAAATAGGTGTAATGAACGGAATGTACATCGTCCGAAAAATTTCTAGACATTTTTATCTATTACCGAAATCGTTCATCAATAAGTTGTTTGAATAGTGACAGCTATTGTGTGTTAACGTTTTCATAATTGATTCCTTTACCCTAAAACTCCACGGCAGATTTCCGTATTCGTTATTGGAATAAGGACAATTTCCCCGCCGCTATCAACCAACACCCATTTGCCTCACGTGTATGCCATATTAACGTGAATAATTAATGACTTGTTTCTGTGCATGTGTACTCAATTGCCGCTGCTCAGGATTTTTGATGGACCTTGTATTTACGCCACCAGTCAATATTTATTACGGGAAATGTTAGTGCAGGAAATCTTGCTTTGTTTTCCTCTTTTCAAACTGCGGAGTTTCGTCTAATTATATTTAGAATTTACCTCGTTAAGAGAAGGTTGTCACTCATCTCTATAAGGGTATTAATGGCATTTTGACTCGGATATATTTATTTAGATGATTCAAATTTGCACTAATAGTAGACAGTTTTGGAAAGTTTCAAAGTGCTAACGGATAATTTTAAGTAAATATTAGCTTGACTTGTTTAATGTTTAAAAACTAATTCGTTTAAAGCTTCTTCAATATTTTAAAGTTTGTTATCAATTAAGCAGCAAACCTATAATTAGTAGATAAAGAACAACGTGCAATCAAATATTTTCGAGTGAGAATAAAAAAATACCTAAAATAAATCTGGTTGAACCCACATGGCTTCTGAAAAACCTACGTTTCCTGTCCGAACATAAACAGTTTTATAATAGTAAAATCAATTTTACCTGACATGCAAATATTATAGGAAAGGATTTTTCGACCGGTCAAATCTAAAACATAATGCTTCCCCATTTTATTTGACTGCTTACACAGTGTCGTTTGTCCCATTGGTTAATTATTTTGTCGATATACCTATAGCCACTAGTGAGTCACTTTTTTGTTCGGTCATTATCAGAAAAAGATTAGATAGATCCAACAATTGTTTAGGCGTGGCAAAATAAGTATAAAAACTTGCTTTAGGATATTAAGGTAATTTTTCATTGGGACTCGTTCTTAATACAGCACTCTAGTTAATGATTTTTTTTGTTTTCTTATTTCTGATTGGCTGTTTTTCTAACTGAATTTATTTTTAAATATAGAAATATTGTGTATTCGGTTAATAATTTGTCATGCAAAAAAATATATATTCGTTCGAGCTAATGGATAATTTTTCTAAAAAAACCTTGGATATGTTGTGTTGAAAACGATAAATAATACGAAAAGCAATTAAGTGAATGTGAATATCATCGGTTCTTATCAGTATTGTCTAAGTATAGTTTCATTTGAATAAATAAATATACTTTTATCAGTTTCTACCTGTGAAAACAGGAGTCTTCTTTGAATTTGTTGTGCATACCTATTAGCACTATTTGTTAGTAATGTTAAATAAAAATATTAGATTATCAACGATAATAATGAAATATATCGGGAATAATAATTTAATACCAAAGCACTTGGTAGCCTACATGAATGCTCTAGATATAGGTAATGCGCGTAAAGCAAATTGGATGATTATTTGAAATTTTTAATTTTAATATAATACGCTTTATTGAATACGAGAAATTAAGCTGCAATTCAGGTAGGTATTGTTCACCGCTGAAAACCAACTTTTCGATTCTGTTTAGTATATTAAAATACAAATTTTAGCCTAATGGAAACGAGAGGAATTAAGAGCGATTTTGTGTAATATTAATTGAAGCGTAGAAATGCGATATTTAAAGTGCATGAACATGCCATTATATATATAAATTGATTTTTCCAACAACTTTAGTCCAGTTTCTATATTATTGCAACTGAGCACTGATAGAGCATTGTAACTTTAAAGATAATGAAGTACCAATTATTATATGGTTTACCTATATCATAAATATCCTCGACGAGGAAATAATTCAGATTAAACGTTTTAAAAATCTTAGATTAGGATTAAGAGAAATTTTAAACTAATTCCGTTTAGTAGAAGAAATTACATTCCAATTTGTATACTGTTCTATTTCTGTGGAATACATTGAAGTGACCATTTGAAAAATTTAACTTTATATTTAGATTGGTGTTTATAACTTGTGTATACATATATTTGTTTCCTAGGAAATGGGTAATAGTAATGGAAAAGGAAATGAATAAAACCTGGTGTGACGTTAAATTATTAAATTATTATTTCTAAGTTGATAGGGTAATTTAATCCATTAAGCAAATTACACTAAAAATCCCAGATATATCTACATTTATTGATGTCTATTAGATATTAATAGAAATAATAAATTGTATTTTACTGTACATACGAGTATGCCCTAATGTCCCGCTGACCTATTTGAGAAAAAATAAATAAACTACATTATTACTATGGCATTGTAACTTGTCAATGATGTTCTAAATGCTCTTACATTTTACAAATGTTTCATTGAAAAGGGGTTGTCAGATTAAGAAATTTTATAGAGTAATTAGTGCAACTTTTATGATGTCCATAATATTGCAGCCAGATTTTTATTAATTTAACCGACTTAATGGAGTTCAAAGCAATCCAAAAACCGTTGGATGTAATATTCAGTAACAATGCATTAGATATAGACTCTATTCATAGCATTTTTATTGTAATTGTAGACAATAAATCATTCCCTTTGTTACATATACTAAAAAAGTAACTCGTTTGTTTTTATTCGTAAAACTTGGCTAAATATTATTTTTGGATTAAAAATAGTCAAAAGAGAATTTTAATTTTTAATAATTCTTTTAAATCTCGTTTACCGCAGTACACAATTGAAAACGTATGTGTGCAAATCACCAATTTATCGGCAATAATCGATTTGTGATTTCTCCGCGAGCACTCTATGTTTTTTAATGTTTCCAAGGTGCATTGTTTTAAACAGCTAAATGCTTTATTTTAAATTAATATAAACACGTCTCGAGATGTGATACAGTATTTACTTGAAATATATCCTTGTACGTATGGGTTTAGTAAATAATCTATTTTCTCAAGTTTTGTTTAGAGGATATGGCGCTAGTAAAATTGGCACTACTCGATATTAGATGTTTATTTCGGGATAAATCTTTAATTAATTACTCTTACGTAACTAATTCACTTTTTTTGTTTTATTTACTTGAACATAGCACGTAAATTCGGAATACAATCAAATAGAGATATAAAAACTTCCAGTGATGTTTCAAACAAATCTCTGAAATAACCCGTCTTCACGCAGGATAAATTTTTAATAGTTAAACATCTAAAAATACATAATATGCCACTAAAAACAATTTGTGTGAAGTTTTGTTGTTTCGCAGTAATATGTGCACAGACACTGAAGATGTGATTGTATAGTTAAAAATACCATCTTACTAAAAATGCGCAAACAATGTTAAATGGGACGACCGAAATAAACTTGGCAAGATCTGCTGATGATTAAAGAACTTTTGAAACCGTTGTCTCCTTAACAGTTACTTGCTTTAACGATCAGTTTTATACAAGACTAGAACGCTTTTCGTTCGGAAAATATTTGTAGGAAATTATTTTAATGGAAAATAATAGTTAGGTTATTCATCATAATTAATCATAAATAATATTATTTCGGACGTTCTGCCTACAGAACGGCAATTTCATACGATCGAATCTTTATTCGAAATTAAATAAAGGTACACTTACCCTCATTGAAAGCTACCCCAATGTGTAAACGGCGAATTCAGAAGGGAGAGGGCACTGTATTGCGAATGAACTTGAACTTGAACAAGGGGATGAATTTACAACCCTCTGAATCTCGTATTTTGGGCGACGACCCACTTACAGAGGGTGCTATTGTGCATTTAGGGATGAGATAATACATTTAACCGTTTTGACATTGCATTTTCGGTCTTTGAATTTTCCTAGTAACCTACAAGCCTACATAATATTGTAGTATCTCACGAATTTCCTCTAATCAATTTTATACTATATTCTTCGTATTTAATCTAAACTGTAACTGCCACACGGTGTTCTTTTTTGGTATATGGTTGTTGCTTGTGTGCTAGGTTGTTCAGCGCCTTGGGACTTATTCTAACTTTTTACAATTTCAGAGTGCCACCAGGCTACGTCTATCAATCGCCGTATTTAGCAGCCACAGCCCCAGGCAGCTTGGTTCCTCTGCAAGCTACGCAACTGACGCACGCAGCTGCCGTAGCTGCAGCGGCGACATCGCAATTTTACGAGTACCAAAACGCCGCAGCGGTAGCTGCAGCCGCAGCTGCTCCTTACACGGGACAGTATTCTAACGGCTTCGATGCTTACACACCGTATACAGCATCAGCAGGTAGATTGATATTTATTTTGCATTTATTTTTATATCCTCGATTGTGCTAGTGGAGATAATATTGCCAAATTATTTTGGCTTCCTATGTTACGATATCCTGTGTAACGTACAAAAATACTTTGGATTATCCAATGACTTATGTGTTTTGCCAAAACAATTAAATAAACTACAGAGGCTTCACAAATGATTGATGTACAACGGAGATAAAATTCGGATTTAATAATTTTCAGGTACTGCAAGTTACATGCCGTACACGTACGCAGCTTTGCCGCAGACTCCTGGGTTACCTACTGCAACAGCTGGAGCTTTCCCAGGAATTCCTTATCAGACGGCTGCGCAGGCGCAAACTCTGCAAGAGGCTCGATTACAGTAATTGAAGTAGTTCACGAAATTTGCACGTAAGAAGCGAATTTTTTTAGTGATTACAGTAAAATTAGTGAGAGAATTGTGTACTTAAATCATTTGAAGGAATCATATCGGCATACAAATGCTTGAGTTTGATATGATCAATGCTATTCTCATTTTTTATGGAAAATATTTATATTTTTTTGATATTTATGTAGATCTGTTGAAGACTGCACCAATAAAAATTATTGAAGGTAACATTACCTCTATACGTAGGTGCAATTTTAAATTAATTTATTATTTGTAGCGAATAATTCCAGTTTAGTTACCACTTAATGAAAAAAATCAATGCTCAATTGAAAAGTAACAGACTTTCGAAATTGCTCGTACTTTTGCAGATAGTTTATTTGTTTTACTGCAAGAGATGTGCAATAATTATTTGAACCTTAAATTAAGTAGAATTATTTCATTAGATTTGAAAGTATCTAGTTCTAGTCTTTTATTGATAGTACTTAAAAGTATATTTATGTTAGGTATGTAAAAATTATACGAAAATAATGACTTCGCGTCTCTAAAAAATGACGCCAGTATTATTATTGGAAAGATTGACAATATCTACATTCGAATTTTCTTGCAAAATTTTCGATAATCTTTCGTCTATGTATGTTCAGAAATTACATAGGTAACGCACATAAAATTTGGAAATTGTTATAGTGAGTTTTCAGAAACTTTTTCGAACTTTTCTCGACTGCCCAATCCAATAAAGATTTCAATACGAATAATTCTTTATTGGGCTTACATGAGTACAGGGTGTGTCTTCACTATTTTCAAATTGTTCAAATGAATGTTTCATATAGTTATTAAACAAAATATAGGTACATATTTTAGTGATTAATTAGTAATAATATACCCTGTATATTTCAGCTAGGTACTACCAGAAAAATGTATTTATATATACAAGGTGTTTTAATAGAAGCAACTAACTAAACTAAAAAAATTAGAATAATTAGTTCAATATAGGTATTTCTTATTTTCTTTGCTTCTACTACGAAGCACTCTGTATATATTGTACTACTCACATTCAATTTATTGTCATTGTACTGCACATATAGATGTTTAGCGCACTAATAAATGTAAAATTGTACCTTTATTAAATACATATTTAATACATTACATTATACCTATAATACTAAGTAGTACAACATTTGATTCGGTCGACAATCGTTAATTCTTCTAAGATAGACAATTTTTAAAATGAATTTATATTTAGGTACGTTCATGTAGATCTTTAAGAAATTAAACATAATGCTACTAAGGCGATTAATACACAATAAAGTCAAGATTGTACATTTTAATACAAAAAAACTGGCATCTACTCTGTTTTAGCAAGACAATATAAATAATTACAATTTACTTGTATGTTTTATGTATAAATATGGTAGAAGACACTGTTCATATTGTAACTTCCATAACCTTATACGAAAAAAACTTGATTAATTAGACATGTAATTTGTGCATTCAACTGGTTTATATTGTTCAAGAATGATGGGATAATTAATTTAAATATTTTATCATTTGAGCTACAGGGAGTTTGTTTTTATCTTGGAAGAGAAAGCTCAGTCTAGGATCTTCGCATAACATAAGAATTTGTTACAATATGAATTTAAGGAGGTGCATAAAGACTTCTAGTCATTCTTTACAGTTCAGCAGTTATTTTATTTATTAGAAGTTAATAATACTCCTATACTAAAAATATACCGTTAAATTTTGCAATTTATGAGAATTAATTTTCTTTTTTTTACACTTATTTATTTCTTTGTCGGATATAATTGCAGCTGATACTGTATAGTTGTTTTGAATTTTGTACGATCCGTCCAAGGGTATTGCTAGTGCCTCTTCTAACAATAAAAAAAACATTTATTGCCTAAAATTAAAAATTTAATTAAAGTAACTATAGTAATTGTAGTATCCTAGTTGATTTCTAAATGTGACAATTCTTTGTATATTTACAAAAGAAAACATTTCTTCACATTTAAATTATGAATTATTGTATAAAAACATCAGTAATACATATTTTTAACTAGTCGATTTAATTATAAATATCTCTTTATATTTTAGTTATTTAAAATACTATTCAATACTGTTTACAGTTTTGACTGTGAAAAAGTACTTGTTATTATTTAATTTTAAATTATTTTCTACTAAGATTAAGTTATAATAAAGTTAAATAAATATTTATAAATTTCCGTATTAGTTTATTTCAAAATATCTTCCTATCAACATTTTTTCCTAGTATACAGGTAGATGCAAAATTGTTAGCTGTATGGGTGCAACAAAGACCACGTCCATTTGTCGTGTAAAGGAAAAAGAAAGATTGTGGATTACAAAACTTGGTCACTCCAACCACTGATTTTTATAATGTTTCTTCGTTTAATTGCAATATTTTACCATATAACAAACAATTTTGCGTTTATATGTATAAATAAAATTGATTTTTTCCCCAGTACAATTTTAATTCATGTACAAAAAGGGCCAGTCCGGTACACTGATTTTAAATTTGGAGCTCCTAGCGACATCTATTGTAAAAGTAAACTTTGTTTACAGTAAACTACTATTTTCGATAACCTAAAAATCGATTATGGTGAATTGTTTTTTATTTTTTGAATTTTAGAAGGAAATTTTAAAACTGTAAGTAAAAGCACATACGAATAAATCAATACAACGCATATTGTTCGAAATGAATATTCGGCATTACAATGCGACATTTGCCCTTGATGAAACTTTATAAAAACAATGTTATTATCTTCTTCAAACGGTTCTGCTATCAGTTTTGAAGCAACAAGCTCAAACAACCATATCTTAGTTTCGAAACAATGGCTTTAAGATTAAACTGCAAGAAAATTATTTCTAGATTTATATTAAAAAATCCATTTACTCGAGTAAGTGTGGTTATGTTCAATATTTCGAATTTAAATAGTGGCTTTTTGTAGAATAACAGTACATTATCAGTACGAATAGTTGAAGTTGGACCTAGAGATGGCCTACAAAATGAGCCCACTAGAGTCGACACAGACGTTAAAATCGAATTTATCAACAAACTATCACAGACTGGTTTGCGGACAATAGAAGTTACAAGGTACGTAACACAAAATACTCACAATTTGGACACGTATTACTTATATACATTATAGTTTCGTGAGTCCAAAATGGGTGCCCCAAATGGGCGACAACCTAGAAGTTTTCTCAGGAATCGATAAACAAACGGGAGTCACATATCCTGTTCTAGTGCCAAACGTACAAGGATGCAAATCAGCAGTAAGCTCTTTTGTCATGTACCAAGCATAAGGTTTTCTAGTTTTCTGTTTTAGTTGAAAGCAGGCGCCGAAGAAGTGGCGATCTTCATCGCAGCATCCGAAGGCTTTTCCAGGAAAAACACCAACTGCACCATACAAGAAAGCCTCAATCGAACCAAAGAAGTGATCGATTTAGCCCATGAAAACAACACTAAAGTTCGGGGATACGTATCATGTGTAGTGGGATGTCCGTACGATGGTAAAGTTCCACCTGCATCGGTGGCGAAGTTAACAGAATCTTTATTATCTTTGGGTTGCTATGAGATATCATTAGGGGATACAATAGGAGTGGGGACCAAAAGCTCTGTAACCGCCATGCTTGAAGAAGTCCTGAAGGTCACATCGCCTGATAAAATAGCCATTCACTGCCACGATACTTACGGGCAAGGTCTGGTGAATATTCTTGTAGCCCTCGACAAAGGCGTGACTGTGGTAGATTCTGCAGTCGCAGGTTTAGGAGGGTGTCCTTACGCAAGGGGCGCCACTGGTAACGTTGCAACAGAGGATTTAGTGTACATGCTGGAAGGCATGGGCGTACGTACAGGGGTTAATCTAAAAGAATTAATCAAAGCAGGGAGATATATCAGCGATTTTATTAAGAAACCTCCCGCATCCAGAGTAAATAACGCTTTGTATTCCAAACTGTCTTGAAAATTTTCTTATTTTTTTTTGTATATAAATAATCTAATATAAAGTGTATTCTGTGTATGATCTTGTTCATTTAATATTGTTATTTTAACAGCTTATAAATTTATAGAACGAGTAGTGATAATGGCGCTATAGTCATTATTTTGAATAAACGAATCTGTCGCCATCTACACGCCAGTAGGAGAAATATTAAATCGATTCTTATCAAACGAATCGATTCTCTAGTTTCCCACACAACCGTAGCAAACTTCACAGCTATCGTAAATTTGTTTTTATTATGCAATATGCAACACTTAATACGTTTATTTTGTTTACTTTGCGGTTATCGAAAATTTGCAAGAAATTAAATGCAATTGAGTACGTTATTTCTATGAACTCGTTTACGAGGAGCTCGTTTATTAAAAAACAACCGTGAAGTACGGACCTTGCGCGAAGAGTTCCAGTTTTGTGAAACGGATCATCCTCCTGCCCTGCAACAAACCCTTATGCACCTCTTCGACAAGGGATAGGGTTGGATTGTAGCGTTTTATGTGTGTCAGTAGACGTATTTCGGATTCAGAAAAAAAATCTCTAAGCTCCCGAACATGGCTGCACTCGTAAAATTGCATATTTTTATTTGCGTTGCTGGTAATAACGAAATGATTGCATTATAGACTATTACTTATGTATAATATTTAGAAACAATAAACGAGGTAAGCTATTGCAGTTAGTTATTAACGCACTCCAGTCGGTTTTTGAGAGAAAATTTCATTTATCTGGGTAAATTGTTTTTAGTGAAATATGAAGATAACCACAACAAAAATGACTACCCCAATAGAAGAAAAAGTGGATCAGAAGCTTAAAGTTAGGACGGGAATGGTAACAGTTAGTGATGGAAAGAGCAGACCTATCCTCGTTAAACTACAGCTTTCCATGGAAGTTTTACGCTTACTGAAAGAGGAACCCATTCCTCCTGAATCCAAAGCAATTAATACTAAGGTTAGTCTTCACCTCTGCAAATATTTTTATACTATATACCAGAGATGTCAACTTGATCAATCTTGTTCTCTTCATACTTCCTTATTTCCTCAATTGAAGATGTCTGTGTAAGAATAGAACAGCTCCATTTTTAAGAAATAAAGACTTTTCACTCCCATTTGTCTCCCGAAACACAGACTATTATAACTCCTTTCCTTTAATATCTTATGGATTATAAGTTAGAGCGGTATTGTTCTTCCACTCGAACAGATAAACTTTTTCTTCATATTTTTCAATAAAAAAACAAAACCAGCAATGTTCTCTTCTTGCATCGAGGTCTTTAGTTATAAATGTCATTAAATGAAGGCTTTATATTTGGGATATTTCAGGAAAGAATGGTTCAAATAAGGAGGCAGAAAGTAGGTGGCTTGGGTTTGAGCATCAAAGGTGGAGCTGAACACAAACTGCCAATTTTAATATCTAGAATTTACAAAGATCAAGCAGCCGATCAGACCGGAGAGCTTTTCGTGGGGGATGCTATTATAAAAGGTACAGCAAACTATTTATAAAATCTCACTTGTGTTTATTTCAATAAATTTTAGTGAACGGTGAATACATTACGGCTTGTCCCCACGACGATGCTGTTAATATACTGCGCAATGCGGGAGATTTAGTGGTTTTAACGGTTAAACACTACAAAGCAGCCACGCCATTTTTACAAAAACAGGGTAAGCTTATTCCTATAACTAATATTAGCATAACTATCTTCTTGCAATTGTAGAAGAAAAGGACAACGAGGCGGAAAAAGAATGTAATGGTGAGGAGAAAGGCGCCTCAGACGAGAGTTTGAAAGTATCGAATTGCACGATGAGCAGGCCCAGTTCCATTTGTTCTGAATTAGAACAGGAAGCAGCGCAAACTCACTGGGTGGACTTCGTGACTGTGCCACTTATGATGGCTTATGTGACTAGATACATATTCGGTACAGACAAGCTGAGGCCTAACGCCTTCGAAGTCAGAGGTCTGAATGGCATCAGCACCGGGATTATTCATTGCGACGATTCGGGTATTTTATCGCAGTGGCTGAAATATATTACTGATAATATTATTGGACTGACAAATTTGCAGGTGAATTATTAATGTTTGTTTAATATGTTTATATGTTGGTATATAATTTTTTTTTTTCAGATGAAACTGTATAATCGAAATTTTAGTGTATCTGATAGGATTGAATATATGGGTTGGGTTAATGAAGGTGTTATAAATAATAACCATCCTTGGCAAAATTACAAACCTAGATTTTTTGCTCTTAAAGGTACTGATCTTATGCTGTTCGATACGCCACCTGTAAGTTTTCATATTTTTTATTTAATCTTATTTACCGATTGCTCGTTTAATTTATAGTTAAATGTTGCTGACTGGGGAAAGTGTCCTTTAATGTTCAAGGTTTATCAGACTATGTTTAGGGTTATAAAAGAGTCCGAAAATGTCGACGAAAGACAGCATTGTTTTCTGGTGCAGACATCAGGTCAGGATTCCAGATATTTTTCAGTGGAAACCAGACAAGAGTTACTGAAAATTGAAAATGCTTGGCATTGCTCCGTCTGTACAGCTGTTATGAAATTAGGTGTAAGTAATACATTTGTCTTTTTTTCATCTTTAATAAATGTTTTTAATCTACTTAAAAAATGTTATGTTTTTTCAGAATAAAACTTTTACTGTAAGCAGTAATGGAAAGACTGCTGGACTGACATTGGATTGGAACATGGGCTTTTCCTTGCATGAAGGCGATTCAAAAACTCCAGTTTGGCAATACAAGTTTTCCCAATTAAGAGGTTCGTCTGATGATGGAAAATCTAAGCTAAAGTTACACTTTCAAGATGTAGAGTCGAGAGCTATTGAAACCAAGGTATATAAACGGATTTTAATATTATTCTGTAGCAAAAAACTATGTTTAATTGGATTGGATTTTTTTTAGGAGTTGGAATGTTCCATTTTGCAGAGCTTATTATTCTGCATGCATGCATTTTTAACAGCGAAGGTAGCTTCTGTAGACCCTGGATTTTTATGTTCTGTGATTCCTTAGAATTAATGACGAAGAGAACTGATTTATTAAGAAAATAACGTTTCCAAAACGTTTCTTTAGGTAAATACAATTCAACGATGCTTGCAACAAATAATATTAAATGTTTTTCGTTTATTTGCAGAAGAGAAGTTTTTCCTAACGTGGCATTAGTAAAAAATCATTAAATTAAAATTATTTATTTGTTACACGCTGTTCATATATTTTTTATAGTCCTAATTATAATAATGTTCCTTGTATATGTAGATAAAAAATTATTTATTACTTCTGTATTTCTAGAAAATACTTAATTGTTTAACATTTTTCATGAGATATTTTTTAGTACCTTTTTGTACTAGGGAAACGTTAATATTGCGAATTCCAATTAAACAAATTAGACCACAACTTTTAGAATAATAATGAAAGAAATACGTTTTTAGCCCTTAAGTGATGTATAGAAATGTAATAATATCATAGTTAATAACTAATGGAAAGAACAGAACATTATGTTCTTTATAATAGGGTTTAATTTGTTTAAAACGAATAATTACTAACTTACAATGTAATGTCTTACAGTTTAATTGTATGTTACATGTTTCATGAGTGAAATATCGCTTTGTGCATTAATCCACAAGTCTGGAAAACTTATTTTCAGCACGTGTAATGTTTGCTCGTTTTTCCTACGATCCTATGATTACTTATATGTCAAGAATGGAAATATTTACCTTAACGCTCTGGGACTCTGTTTAAAGATATTACATGATCGTAAGAAAAATTTATCTAACATAAAACTTTGTAATTTTGTATACCTCATCGATATCGAGTGTAGCATTTTAAAACTATATGGAGTAGAGAATTTGTTTTTCCATTAAGAAGAACAAAATCAAACAACTTCCATTAATGTAAACTAAAAAAAAACGTTTAAGTGTTTTGTATGAGATACAAAGTTAGCGAAAATTATACAATATAGTCTGAATATCAGCACCAGTACGAAAAAACTAGAGTGAAAGTAATAGTCAATGTGTAGGTTAATATTTAAGAGTGCCCTGCTGTTTTTGGCTCAAACGTTTTATTTGTGTTTTACCAGGTTATTTGAGATTAAGTAGTGGATTTTCTCGTATATTCGATTGATTTTTAAGAAGTGTCCAGCAAAAGGCGATGAATTTTTATTGCTCCCTTAAATTTTTTTAATGTTGAAATTGTCTTTACAATTGCCATTGTTCGTGAGAAAATCCACATACTGCGGTAATACGCTTTATATTACATATCATTCACATACAGCTTACAGAAAAATAAGTATTAAAACGATTTTGAATTACCAAAGAGTGATTGTTAATGTGCTGTACGTAATTTTATCAATTAGTAAGTTTATTAATCTGTGAGCTGAGAAAAATCTAATAGCTTGAATACGTGTCTTTTGCTATTTTGAATGGACCTTCTACGCATCTACAAAATAGTGTCAGGTGTGTTACTGCAAATATTTTAATGTCGATCTTATTAAAATGATTTTTATTGAACCCGTAATGATGACGAGTTACTGACAGTTGTTTAAAAAATGTATAAAAAATTGTATAAAAAATTGGTTCTTTTAAACTTTTGAAATTAATTTTCAATTAATATATCTGCAGCGAAACTCCTAACACCTATAAATCGAGATAAGACTAGTGTAATGTACTAACTTCTAGCGTAATAACCCATTTCACGAAATCATATCGATGTAGATAACTTCCAAATCAATTATTGATAGTCAATCATGGATTAGTTCAATTACGAAGAGAAATATAGCAATAAGTTACTCTTTAAAATACTCTATTGTATTCTTGCTAATTTTTGAACCGAATGTGTATATTGTTGAGTATCGTTGTAATTTCTTTACAACGTTTTTCGAATCGATTCAATTTATACGTACTGACATTTCGATATGCAAATTTGAAGATTACCGAAGGAAATGTAAGATTGTGGCATTTTGGCAAATATAAATTTTTTTTCAAATTAAAACAGATGTGCTATTCTGCTAATTTTTAACTCAGTTTTATTGTTTGTTTATGCTCAATTTCTCTGGAAGATACTGAAAATTTGTAAAAAGTATATGTCAGTATTAAAATTCTTATAAATGCGTGATTTTACATATAATTATCGTTGATTAGTTGTTAACATTCTGATGAATCTTATGAACGAACTAGATTATTTAGCTTTGCTTATCTTTAGATTTAGCGCAGTTTTACATGGTTGTGATTCTATTTTCTCGACTTTAGTTACATTCTTGTATTTCCATAGTGTTCGTTTTACTATTGTGTCTATGTTTAACACAAGACATTTTAAACAAATTTAGATAGTTTTTTGTCGACTTTGATAGATGAATGATTTTAGAGGCATCTTAAATACTTCGAAAAACAGAACATACTTAGGGCTAAGGTTATGAAATTAATGTTTAAATTGTGTTATTGATCGATAACAATAGTAAATAATTTTTATGCGCTACTTTGGCGCTTAGTCACCGTGCGCCTTTACATTCGAAAGCTGGTACATCGTTAGCGAACACAATAATAATTCTTTAAGATTCTGACAATAAGTACAAATAACGAAGTACTTTTGATTAGTGGAATTGACGTGTGCCAGCTTTGTTAATCGAAAACTCTTGGATTCTATAAAATTGTTGTTTTAGGACTTTTCTCTGCAAAGACCAAATAGTATGTTCACGTATGAAAATATAGTTATTACTCGTTGACAATATAAATAAATTTATTTAATACCTTGTTTATTATATATTTTTTGAAAGTAGCAATGTCTACTTTTTTAATTTTCGATTTTCGTAAGACCAATTATTTTTTACATTCTGGTTAGTACCAAATGCATTTTTGTTACTGGTGCTAGTCTAACTGCCCCAAAGGAGTATATTATGGGTGTGATTAAAATGAAACCAGCGAATCATTGTAACTGTCTTTATTCAATTCCATTTTCTACAATATAATATCTAAGTTTTCATTTTGTATAATTATTGGCGTGAATTAAACACGCGTTTCCAACCTCATGCGCAGCAGCAATAAATATAAGTATATTATGTATAAGTTCGAACTCAGATAATTATGCAACACTTCAAAAACGATCCTCATACATATTTCCATTGCCCAGTGATTGTCAAGAATCTTGGTAAACAGTTCGAACTTCGGTTTATAATTTTGTATTGACAACGAATTTACCGCTGGTTTTTATTAGTTGAATTCAGAAAGTGAGTGTCACACAATAATTCGAGGAATTATTCATAAAGATGTTGAACTGTTGTCGGGCTGGATAATTAATAAAGAGGTCGCATAATATTCCGATTTCATTTCATATATTACAAGACATCAACGTTACTTTTACCTTTGATGTGGCTATTTTTTACAGTATCAAAATAGAGCCACGCTGATATCTAAATAAAATCGGTAACTCCTTTTGATTTTTTCCTTTCCAATGTACATAAATAAAATGTTATATTACAAATTTGAAACGTCCAGATTATTTTTCAAATGAACTTGTTCGAATTTCTGATTACGTGATCGGTACTTAGAAATTTGAAGAAGTTTAAACAACAAGATCGAACTTTCTTAACTATATTACAGATTGTAGATACAACGTAAACAATTAACAAAATTTAGGTACTATAGGGTACACACTATACACTGCAGTTTTCACTATTAGTCTTCTCTACGTGGTTCATTTTTTTTACAATTGTAGAATCTGACGTATCCATCACAACTAACGTACCCATATTCAGAAACGAACTGACGCGTACAGATCAAAGTTAGTGAAGCGAACTTTTATTTCTAATGATTAGACTATTCGAATACTCTCACATTTAAGTTACAATTAATAATTCTGTACATTCATATATAGGCCAAAACGGTGACGACGTATTTTTGTATCCGATTATTCTATTACTAGGGCTAATTTTGATAAATAATTTGATTAAATTCCGTCTTAAACATCAATGGAGTTGTAAATTTCGTTTCACTATACAGTAAAACAAAGTAGACGACTTTAGAGTGATCAAAAACAAAATGAAATTTTGTTATTAACCAGTAAATTCGTACGATTTTGTTGCCCATTTTTAGAGAAATCGTCAACTTCGAGTATAATTACATTTATAACAATGAACCTTCATTCCAGCCAGTTCATTTCTGTTCACCATACTTACTATAATTTCCTATAGTTACACATTTATTTTAAAGCTAACACCACACAGAATATGATATGTCATATTATTACAACGAATGTCAATCATTGGGAAAGGGAACACAGCGAAATGGGTTTTACATTATTTACGAATATTTCAAAAAACACATAATTATCCGCGTAAGTAGAATGGGTGGGCTCCGTTAGCTGTACGTGAGACTGTAACCTAATGGCCAATTTAATTTTAATTGGTCGTAGTCATCGTGAAACTTAGTACTCAAACAGAAATAACCAATAAGTACTTGAAAAGGAAAATTTTATAAATACCGTTACGCTAATCTGTGTGGTCTCACTTTTTGGAAACGTTGATTTTCTTTCTGTTTGAGTTCTGCGCTACTTCCTTCGTATAAAAGTTCGATAAAGAAAAGGCAACAGTGACCTTTGACTTGCAGGATATTCGTGTTTGAGAAAAACTACGTTTTTTTTGTGCCCTCATGTGAAAGAGTCAAACGACACTGTCAGTTTAAATTATAATAATATAAAAAATCTATCATAATGTTTATCGTATATATAAGCATTTTTATAATTATAATTCGTTTCTTTTTTTTGCACAGTTCTTTAAGACAACAATATACTATCACAGAGTATGATATTTTATGATAATAATATCTAACTAAACTTTTACATGCAATTCTAGAACCACCTATGTGTTTAGCCTCTTAGGTTACTAGCTGTAATTGACTACTGTGCTGTTTCTTGGCGAAATCATCATCAATTACACATTGTAATTTATATTTTTTTCACTGCAGTTTTCCAATACTTCGTCGAAATAAGAACATGTTTTTAATTAAAGAAATATTAATAATTACATGAGAATTTCCATCGCCATTTCAACTCTAGTTGACTTTTCCATTTTATCGAAAGTATCGAGATTATATACGACAAAAGTTTGTATGGAGTTTACTTCAATTTCGATATGTTTTTGAAATAACTGCATTTCCATTACAAACGATTAAATACTTTTTCTTACAATGAGGAAGTATTGGATATACGATAATTATTATATGAGTATGTCCACAAGCTTTATATGCAAACATATACTTATTAAATACATCATTCTACATTTATGAAATAAACAAAACACTAGAAGTTCACCTAAAAATACTTTTTGGTAAAAAATAAATACAAATGAACACATATTTGAGGTATTAACGTTAGGAATGTTAAAACATAAAAGTTTTTATAGACTAAATAACGAAATTTAAACAGTCTCAACAAATTAAATCAACAACAACAACAAAATTCGAAGTTACTACTAGTTTATCCTAATCTTTGTTCATTAACAGCACAAACACCTACACTCAACAACTAATTAATTTGCCCTTGATGAATAACCCGTATCTCTCGCCAAATGATACTATCATTCCTTGTATTTTTAATAAAAATCCTTTTGTAGTTCATGGAAGCTTTTAGCTCCCAATTCGAGAAAATTGAGCTAAACTTGCAATATGCTCCATCAAACTAGAAATGGATTTTATTGGTAGATTTGTTATTGGTACATAAGAGAAAAAATCACCGAAAGAAATACGCATTATTCCCTTCAAAATTATATAGTACTTAATGAAGGGCCAATTTCACCTTAAATTCTCTACTACCAATAATTGTTCAACTTTATGGACATAAATCATACGTGATCAATAATTTAGGTACCACGCTCTTCCTCAACATTTATTACAGGATTTAAAACATTTCCAATTCTCGCTAAATTTCTCGAAATCATTTAATCTATTAAAATTAAATCGGCTTAATATCGAATCATTTCCAAAAACTGGGAAATCATTATGAGCTGCACCCCGAAACATGAAAAATGTTAGCAAAAAATTGCTGAACTATGAGTTGAGTTTTTGGAAATTTTATTAAGCAGTAGACACGAGAGTTTCTTACAATTGCATCACGTTGGGGGAAGGGGGGCTTAGGGGAGCATCGGAGTATTGTTGAAGGATAGAGCACTAAATAGTGGTTCCTTTTACACTTAGACACTAATACAGCCGTTAAATACGTGGTGCTTCTTAATATTAGCGTGCAAGTTATATATATTATATATACGGTCATTTAACGAACATATAGCTATTCATATAAATGCTAAATATTTAAAATAGTTGCGCATATGGTTTTTAGATACACAGGTATTGAAAGAAACATGTATTTAATATGTAGCGGTAGATAAAGATTTTCTATGACGAAATGTTATAAAAATATTTTTAATTTCCTAGACATCGGTACAGAATAGTTCTAAAAACGATATGCCAAGCTATTCGTAGAGTTATTTGACTCGATTTTTTGAAATTTTCTTGAGTCAAAAATACGGAATTCGTCGAATTGCAATAATAAAATTTGATATAATTAAGAACAAAAATACTTCTCACTTCGATCCATATTTTTGATAACGATATAGAAGAAACATTTTCAAAAAATAGCGTTTAATCACCCCTTACGGATAATACTCATCGTTCTATGTTCTACATCTGCGGTATACTTTTAAATCTTGTATCAAAACTTTTCATCGCTCATAATATATATTTATAAAACGTTGGATTTTTTGGATATAAATCACTTTGAATAATGTATATTAGGTATGTATATATACTTTTTTTTATCACGCTTATGTTCAATATCATTCAAATGCCTAAACACGGACGTCTATGCATAGCGCTATATCTTCATATCTTACATAATAAAATTTCATCTCATCCGAAATTTCTATCGCATTTAATGATAAAACAAGATACCTATAAAATTTTGGTCTCATTTATTGGTAAAACAAAGTTAAATGTTTATATAATTCATTCCGCACCATTTAATATTTTTGTGGTATTCAATTTTGGTCCATAAGTTGCAATTTTGCATTAACTACAATTAAAATATTTAATTCGATAATATAATAACGCGTCTCGTGTTGCCTAAATTATGAAATTCGTAAATTTTGTATGTAAGATACGCAAATATGCTTTACAGCGAGCATAATTTTGGCTTCTAAAGTTTTAATGTCTTTTCTTTGTATAAGTATACAGCTGATTCCTTTAAAATTGATATCTATGTATAATTCAGAACATTTATTTTTGTGATATACCGTGCTTTTTGTATCCAGAACGTTCTAAAATATCTGTTGAATAAAACGTACAATTGTTTTATAAAATGAACATACCAAGTAAATCAAAGGTATTTTAAGACGTTCTGTATGTGTATAAATCCGTACGCCTTGATTACATAACTATCAACTAACCTATCTAAAATTTCCTTTTTTTTTGTCTATTCTACTTGCATTTTGTACAAGTCAAATGTAAATAGATACCTAGCATTCTTTACAAATATAAATTCTTATATTCTATTTTTCATTTTCTACGAATTTGACAGTCCTACCGCAGAAGTACAGGTAACTCATGTTAAACGAAATTTGATCCTTGGTTGTAGAATGCTCTGTACGAGGTCCAAAGGTCGTTATCAGACTGCCTTGACGGGAATAGATAGAGAAGGTCATACTAGGAGCCATTCTTCGTCTCCTAGCTGCAATACGTAAGAATCTTTTCAGATGCATCGACTTACTACCACCCGAATCACCGCGTTAAAATCATCAAACATTGGCTTAGAATCAAGTCAATTGATTAGCCGTAGAAAATCGTGTAAAAATCTAATACAATTTCGTTAAATATTTTGGTGGATTTTTCAAATGTGTCCACCAATATTTTTATTCCCACTTAGCTAATTTCTTAAAATTCTACATTGAATTTTTTCAACGAATGAATGATGATAATCAGGAATAAATTAAACGCACAAATGACCCACAATAATTATGTGATCAGTAGCGAAATGAGTAAAAATAATAAATTAACGGTAAAAATTTTGTACAAATTTGTATTTTATGCTTCTAAAGTGCGCCTAATTTAAGAAAATTTGGCGGAAACCTGAAGATTTTCACCAGAAAGAAAATTTAAAAAAATTTCGTGAGATTACATGTAAACCGAAATTTTAAAACGACTATATTGCAATTTTATCGTGTACTTTTTACGTAACACCGAACATATTTTTTGGTACTTATTTATCCAAAAAATTATTAACCCAAGAAAATCATAAGATTTTTTAAAATTTTGGCGAACGATCCTAAGTATCAGATAATTATTATAAATTTTGGCGAATAATCTGCAGGTTATATCAACAAATAATTATTTTTTACCATATTGACATTTGCAGGACAGTTTTGCCAGAATATACCATATTTATGTATCTACGAGGTAAATAATAAAGGTAATACTATCTAATATACCACCCTACACTACACTCCTATTACCCTACTCCTACCCTACCGTTATCGCTACATTGTACAAGTATTTATTAACTTACTAAATTAAAAATCTAGAAACACTGCAAAGGGTATCTAAATTGACAATCAAAATGTTATTCATTCAAAAAAAACTAATTCGAAAAATATTTTTAACTAGCTTTTTTTGAAATGAAATTGTGGTCAAATTGGGAAAATTGGTAAGTTTTATATTATTATTTTCTAATGTCGCCGTAAAAATTTTTAGTTTCCGCCAAAATTTTATAAAATGGTGAATCATTTTAGAAGCTAGTAAAATAATCTTGCATAAAAAATTCACAATATTTACAACAAGTTACTCAGCATATTCAATAAATAATCTAACGATTGCCCCAGCGCGATATTAGTTGAAACTAAACGAATAACTGTTACCATAATTAACAAATTAAAAACCGCTTGAAAAAAGCATAGATTAAATTCCAAAATTCCCGCTTCATTCCACCTACTATTTTAGAATTTAATAACAATTTTACCAAAGTATTTGCATCCCGTATCGAATAATTATTGTCAGACAAACATGACAAATTGTTCAGGTAAATTCGTCGAAGAATTTTCATTAATCCCTACATAATTATTAAGCAGTGAAATTAGCGGAACTGACTAAGACCGAATTTTTCGAAGGCCACAAGGTCGCGTTTGCGGTTGGAAGGAAAGTCGATCCGTCAGAAAGGATTCTAGAATTACAATTCTTAAGTTCATGCAAAGTCGTGAAACCAGAGTGAGCAAGTATCGAGAGCGTGTACTAGGCGTTTGCCTAGGCAGTGCAGGTAACCTTTCACTCATACACCAAGTATGGGAAGCTTAAGTCCTCGCCAGCTCTACAGTTTAATGGAGGGACTTAGGACTTCTATGTATATATTTATATATTTATATATATGTATATAGTTGTGTTCATTGAAACTACTTGAAATTTGGCACAACAATTACTGTTCCGCGATTTTTTTTCTACTGATAACGGTATTTTTCTTGTTTGGGTTTTTAAAATATCACTAGGTCAGGTTGATGACAATTGTGTCTGTTTCATTGGGCCTGAAAGCAAAAAAAAACATGGCAATTTAAAACGCCGATTAAACATTGCAGAACAGTCATTTTTAGTCTAAGGATGCGATTTGAATTAAAGTAACGGGCTTGAATTCGATGCTACAAATGACCGTTCCTTGTGAAAGATTTACAAACATAAAATTTGAAACCGCAACTATTCGATCTAACTACGAAAATGCAAAATTTCATTTGCGATTTTTGTTCGAAACTGAAACGACATTGATTGTTTAAAAAATATTTAACTAGTGCTCGTGACAACATTTATAAAAAGAAGTCCTCGCAGTGTACTGGTTATCATGCAAATGCAACGTGAAAATGTTACCAAGATTTCACGAATATTAACAATCCGACCAAAGAAGAAATTATAAATAACAATTATATGAAACCTCTAATTGTGATATTCCACCAACATAAAGCGATACTCTCGAAATGATACTACTTTATTATTCGACAGCCATAACTTAGGGTAGGTATCACATTAAAAGTCAGTAATTCTATACTTCTGAGATAATCTAATTATGACCCCACGCGATTCTATTTCTCTTAATGAAGACGTCGAAATATAATATCGTCAAACAAACGATTCGGAATATTCGTCAAGTCCTGGTAATTTCATTTTCACTTGAAAATACTTAAGATACTTTAAAAGGAGGAATTTTAATGGGCTGCTGGATCATGCTGTCCTACAGCGGCGGCGATTTAGACCAAACAATCATCTTTATAGCTATCAATTTCATTGTCTCTAGAGCCTAGATACTTCGGCATTCCTTATTCAATTATGTATTAATATTATTGATTATTAAATTGCGATTGTTTTCATTAATAAATATTTAAAACTGGCCTATAAGTTTTCAAACTTGTATAATAATTATTTTTTACAACTACCCTACATGAGACGCAGAGTTGCTAATGATATAATTTTAAAACATACTCTATAATAATGTGAGCCAAACTGAACACAACAACGTTGCAAAACTTTTTAATTTCTTCCTCTAACAAGTTAGACTTTTTGTTACAAAGCGCGGAGGCGCTTTCGGTAAGTGAGGTAATTATGTAATGAATCCTCGCTTTGTGCAGAACGAATCAACACCGCCGCTGTACGATACCTTCTGCCGGTTTTGTTCTCACGATACACATTGTCAGACATACTCTGCCCAGAAGCGACCATGCTCGCAAAGCACCAGATATCCTAGATACTATGAATAGATAGTGCAATACGCAGAGTTACTCACTTGATACTGTTGGATCGGGAACACTATCCCCGGTTGTTGCAGCGTAGCCGCGGGGGCTGTCATTTGTTGAGGGGTAGCAGGTATTTGCGGCTGGCTTGGAATGCCTTGCCACGCCGTAGCGGCTGTGGGGACTTGTAGACCCATGCTAAAATGTTTTATTCTTTATTACCAACAAATTCTATCATTTAGTAAAATATTAGACACGTTGCTGTTTAATAATAGGTAGTAAAATCGCCTGTTATTTCTTTATTGGTAATAGAATTTTAGGTATCAATAACGATTTTCTGCTGGAAAATGACTCGTTGAATACACTATTTTGACTGTAGCCGATATACTTTTAGTAAAAATCTATAAATATCGACAAAAGTTTTAATGTTTCAGTAACCTGACACGGAGTATTTACATTTTTAATAAACCAGATTATTCCTTTAATATTATTTTTTGTAGTTAACAAATAATTGATAGTCGGGAAAAGGGGTTTTACATCTATCGATTTCATTTAATAACTAAACGAACAATACAAATCGAATCAATTTAATCACTATCATTAATTATAAATAAGTCGCAATTTTTCGATCAGATACTAACCCCATATATGATTGTTGATAACCCCCGAATTGGCCGTACGCATATCCTTGCATGCCGCCTATGAATTGACCCTGAATTTGTGCAGAACTCGCTGCTGGATAACTTTGAGGGTACCAGTAGCTTAACTGTTGGCCGTAAGCAGTGTATGGAAAACTCGTACTAGCTATTGCCTGTAAATTACAACAAACGAAAATGCCATTAAAAAAACAAACGTATATATGATACATTTGTTTAAAATGTTCCTACCCAAATTCCCAGACCAAACATTAATTAAATATTCTGCGTGACCTAGTGTTAATAAAGATGGAAATTGTAATTGGATTCAAATGGTTAAAATGAGTTTCTTTCGGAACTTGCACCTATTATTAATTAATTTAATATCCTTTTTTGCTTGATAAATGCTTGATAAATCAATATCACATTTAATTAGGTAAATAGTGTTGGTGTAATATGTATTTACCTGGCCTGCAACGGGTGCATTATTCGGATCTCCAGACTCCTTGCCCCAAGAACATTTGACAATTTGGCCGTTGATGTCTGTATTGTGCACAGCTACGATTGCATGTGTAGCGGATTCTTTTGTCGAGAACCTGAGAAACAAATTTCCTCTATTATACCGTTTTCTAAAACGCTCCGGCATCGAATTTCCACAAAGCGACTGTGTGTGAAAAACGCATTTCCCTCTATTTACAATAAAGAGATGCGGAAAATAACGTCATTTACTCGAAAGGGTTGCCGTACAGGAACGATTTTGATACATTCATTTATTTACACAATTATGCATGTTTAATTATTTTAATTATTGCTAGTACTATTATTGATAATCGAAACTAGCTATTCTATTTTATATCAAACTGTAATCCAAATACAAAAAATGCAAGTGTAAAATATTATTTTCGTGGTAATGTTCAATATAATTAATTGTAAATAAATACTATAATATGGGGAAAAATATTTTCATTGACAATAAAATGGACTGCTGAATCAGTATTTCTTGTACGTTGTAAAATTTTATATTCATGACAACTTCAGTTTTTTTAGGTTTACGATTTTTATTTTTTAAAACGTCTTGTAGGGGAAAAGGGAACAAAGAAGGGAAATGTTTCGTTTTCGGGTCTTTCATCAATTTTGCAGTGAATTCAGGCTATAAAAGTGGTACAACCGACCGAAATTTTTGCGTAACACTCACTATTAAAGAGCCGCGTGAATTTTTGATGAATATTTGCCTAGTTTTCGAATAATATCCTGTGTTTCATGAGTTTTTAATAACTCTTCTCTTAGGGTTTCGTTTTGTTCTTTCTTTTGCGGAGATCACTCTCGAAGGCGTCATAAAATTTATTATATTCGTGAAGTAGACTATAAAATTTACCCTTAAATATTTTACAACGATATTGAATTAAATGTATTAATTCGAATTCTACCTAATATCGAAAATACCGTGATATTAAAAAAGCTTTTATGCACTCGTAAAACATTTATGCCTTACCAAATTGACTTAAACAGGAGTTTTTTCCTTTAATTACAACTACAAAAATGAAATATGATTTTAAATTAATGCCTAATACCAGCGAATTTTGTTTTCGATAGCAGTATTTATCTGCATGCATAAAATCATACACAAACTATTGAATTGCTCAATCAGATAGATTTGAATTACTAAGCTCTCCATTAAATTTAACAACTTCCACGGATAACGTATCCCATTGAAAATCGCTTCTAAAGGGATAAATAACGTAGTTCAAAGTACATAGTTGTGACCTTATGCTAAATAACAGGAATATTTGGAATTGCTATGTACGTTGTATCAAAGTGAATGTGAACTGTACATTGTTATAGTCTCTAACTAAGATTATTACGTTCATAAACAATTGTTAAATTAAAACTAAGCAATTAGATTCGCTTAGAACAAAAATGTCTGATAGTAATTATTTCGGTACATTACCTCACGAACGCATATCCTTTTTCCTTGAATACCCTAATTTCTTGAATTGTTCCAAAAGGAGCGAACGTTTTCTGCATGAGCTCCTCAGTCAGACCGTTTGTTATGCCTCCACAATACACTGTGCAGTTTGTAGGACTGCTTTGGTTGTAAACTTCATCGAACGTCAGAGGTTTCGAGTTTGCTGAAATAAGAACAAAAAAAGACTGGATTCAGTAATGGCGTTCCTCTAAAAACTATTCTCCATTCAATTTGGATGAGAAGAAAATGAGCAATAAACAAACAAAAGATGTGTATGTGGTATGATTTCTGAGTGTATTTATACAAAACATTAAACTTTTCTAGAAAATATTCGGATTATCTGGCCCATAAAATAATTCAGATCCACACATTTGAAATGATTGAAGCCAGACGAGCGTGAGTTGCTGCTAAATACGAATGCACCTGAGGCGAATAGCATGGAATCTAAATGCACTCCCACAGGGAAAAGCGATGCGGGCGAAATTTACCGCAAGTCGCTATTTCTCCGAAGCGTTATTGAAAAATTTTGATCAAAGAAAAAGTTAATTTGTTTTTATCAAAATTTATTTTTCCCTATGAGATTTCACTGCGTTCTAACCAGAAGGTATTTCGTAAGTAGTTTGAACGTGTGTTTTTTTTACTATTATTCAAACTTATTCTTACCGTATAAGGGGAAAATGTATGCAAGCTGAAGAAAATAACCGTGGGATGTGGAAGTACGTGTTACCTTTAGGCAAAAATAAGCTAACTTATGAATAAAGTAACATAACTTTTCTAATTAACTTTTGTACAATAATAAATATGATGATACAGCTTAATAATATAGTCAATTTAATAACTCAAATGCGTCATATACTACTCTCTAATTCTTATTGTCAATGTCAATACAATTAAATTTTCAGTAGTCATCACACAGATGGATATGTAAACAACTTCATAACAATCTCTTTAGGGCAAACGTAATTAACTCTATGGTAGATACGCAAACACAGACAATACACCAAATTATTACGGTATTAACGTTACAACCAAAAATAGAAATAACCGATTGCTTCATCTATTCTCTCGATTCATTTCACGTGTAAATGGATTATTTTCCGCTTTTAAACCCTACATTTACAGTGACATATTTTGGCGTTGGATAAACTTCCGTTCTTTAAATATTGACATGTTATGCATAATTTAGCGAGCAAACTTTTGCATTACGAACTGAAAGTGAAACGAGCATTTTAGAAGTAAATGCAAGTGAAACCCTTTCCAGTTTTTTCACAAACTATTTTTTATCTCGCGTCCATTTTTTATCTACTATATACCCATTTATATTCCAGTTAATTAAATTTGTGTCAAAGCAGTACAGGTTAATGAATCCCTCTCGAGCTGCAATGCTCAGCGAGAAAAACCCTTTGATCTATTGTACTTTATAAACCTTTAAATTGCGTAGTGCAACAATTAAAAATGCAACCTGTCGGGTCTCCTATGTGAATGCACCAGAGAAGATTTGTTTTCTATTGTTAGATAAGAAACCTAAAATCTGTTAATCCCCGAATTAACAGTACAATAGAATTATACCTACTTAATTATGTATCTAAGTTTTAATAAAAACAGATTAAAAAAACGTTAACACATAAATCTGGAATTAATATTCATTCGGTAACGTATTAGCCAGCTCATACGAGGTTTTAATTGTTAAAACTCCCATTTATTATACAAATTGAGCTATGTTAATGCACGTTCAATTCGAGCACTTGTTTCGCCCAAAGGCAAAAAGCTGCAATTTTATTTTTTGTGCGGCCGAAAAAAATGACGTTATCATTGTATCGAGCGGTCAATCATTTATTCCGTTTCACATTCGTGTTTAACCAGCGTCCCCATTTGTTCCTCCCCGCGGATCTAAAGGAGCTTATAACCGTACGCGTAGATGGAATACGTAAGCACGACGTTATTAAATTTAATTGGGCGCAATATTTAAATGCAAAAAGCGAGTCATTAGAGTTTTTACGTAAAATAGCGTTGCGTTGTTTGGACGTGTCTCATTATTCATTTTTGATGTCTTAGTTTTCAATTGGCTATTCAATTCGAGGCTAGGAAAAAGTGGATGATGGTTCACTAACATTGGATACATTTGTTTTGTGGGCAGGTTTATCCCATCGGAAAATCCGCAAACTAATTTTTAAGTACATTATAAGGTTATAAACATTTATCCATGTATGTACATTTTGATACAACACCTAAAATCTTAAGAGAAAAGCGAATAAAAAAGCCAAGAATAACGTAGCGTTGCAAGTATGGAAATCAACTTTGGTGGTCGTCAGACGTTCTGATTCAATTTCGAAAATCCTTTTCGTTGGGCGCGTTTCCAGTTCTGAGAATTGTCCTCAATCAAAGACGATTCGAACCTGTCAAAAGTTGCTTATGTTTTGCATGCCTCGGAGGTTCCAATACGAAAATGTGCATTTTCCAATTCGGCGCGGAACTTTTCGATTTCTTATTGTTTCGAAATATGTCAAACCGCCAGTGCTGAACTTCGATTTTATTATCTCCGCCTTTGCATTGCACGTAATTGGCGCGACTTGCCGCAATTCGAAACTTTTATTAGATGAAAAAATAATCTAACTTGGCGCGACGGAATGTCCGATGCTCGCGGGTAAAAAACGCGGAAACGCCGGTTTTCGATTGATTAAAGTTTTTTAATTGGTAATTTGTTTTAATGGGTATTTTATTCGATCGATCTACTTCGTTTGCGATTATTTAACGTTTTCTGTCGCACTGAAATTTTCGGAGTCTGGATTGATCGCCAGATGTCGCTTGAAGATGCTCACCAACTGAAAAGAGAGTTTTCACCCGGTCCGGTTTATATCTCGAACGCGGATAGAGTGCGAAAGAAACCCGCATATATTTTTCATAAAAGTTGCCCTAAAACACACCACTGACGTTTATGTTGCACTAAAGTTTGTCAATGCATTGAAAATACGTCCTCGCCAGAGCGGTTTTCGAAGAATTTGTTGCTGGTAAATTTCTTTATATTTTATACGGGGCTATTCAAAAAGTCTGAGATCAATTCAACAATAATTACTATACAATCCTAATTAAATATGCTGATGATTTTTAATGTATTAAAAAAGAATCGAATACATTCTTTTATTAATTTTAAAATTACCTTCACTTTTTGGAGCTGGAGGTTTTCTCGTGGCCCAATTTGTTCTGATACTTCGACTTCCTAACCATTGCCCATTCATAGCAGCAATGGCACTTTCAGCTTCCTGCAACAAAAATTATTTTTTACAAAACCAAATTAGTATAAAAAAATGATTTTATTCGAGAAAATTCTATTTTCGGTTAGAGAAAAATACACTTCTTAGCGGGATAAAGCGTACTGAATCGGTATTGTAAGTTGAAATCGAACGATACGTTCCAATTTAATACAAACGTCGAAAAAAATCAAATTAAAAGGCAGCAATATAAACAGGCAATATACAAATAAACGCTTCTTTTTGCCGATCTCCTTTTATAATTCCAGGCGAAAAAATACGCGATTTACTTTTTTGTCGCTGTCACTAATTACATTTATTGCATTTTTCTTCCAGAAGGGGAGACCGAGATAAAAAAAGTTCGCGAAGCGTTGCGCTGCGCTGGCTTTACGCATGAAATTAAAAGTTACTCTTTATGTTCGCTCGCTCGAAAGTTAAAAGATGCGTTATTATCGAACACGTACAATTAAAATGCAGCAAAGATAAAACCGCCTTTGGGCGGTCGTCCATCTCGTGCGACATGAGATAAATTCACCGTAAATAGAAAATGAACTATTTCACACATAAACTGTATCCGTGTAAGTTGAGCTACGTAGGGTATAACGCTGCATTTAGTTCGTGTAGTAAATTGAATATGCTCGATGTATCCCCTTGGTGTGCGTCCACCCTTACATATGTTAAGCTTGAAGCAGGCGTTTTAACAAAGCAAATGAATTGTTTGGTTTGTAATCGGTCGCCTGGCGGCACTAAATAATGCATTTTACTATTTTAAAAAATTTCTTCTCTTAATGAATCAATCGATATTGTCCAGACGAGATATTAGTTAAATGAAGTGCGTTTGTTGCAGTCATAAAAAACAGGTAGTTAGTCGTCTTGATATGATCTATTTACTAAGTGAATTATCGATTGATTTTGTGTAACTGATACTCAATGAAACGAATAAATAAATAATGTGACGAGAAATGGATAAACAGGAATTTTGGTCGGTATATAAGAATTTGTAGTTTGTAATTAACTCGATGGAATTCCTTTACACGATAAATACATTTATTTTTATTATCGATTAGTTTAATTAGAAAGGATATTTCTCCTCTAAACTGCTAGAAAAAGAAGTAAATTACCTAAAATATAGTTTAATTTATATTGTTGTAGCAGTAAAGGTTTTTGTTTATGCATGTAGTTGGAAATTCCGTTAAGTAAAGTCTGTTCAACATCCGATATAATTGTATAATAATTTGTATTTATTGGATCGTTACCAAAATCATTTGGATTTGAATATGAGCTTATATTGGTTAATTTTCCATGCATTTTCAGTAAAGCATCTTTCCATGAACTAGAATAAAATTGTTGGTGCTTCCAGTAATGCTGTCTCTTGGGCATTTAAATACCTTTTTCGAGGTATTATTGAGTTTAAATGCACGGGGAAATGTTTCTGCATTTGCATCGGAGCTACCTGGAACAGTTTTACTGACATAATGTCTTCTGTTAATGCAAAACAACCGAAGAAAAATATCCGACTAGAGTTTTCTTTACAATTCATAAGACTTTATTACTTCACTATTTGCCTAATGCCTAATGATTTGCAGGAATCATTACAACAGTAGCGCAACCATATCACAACCTATACTAATAAATTTTATTAATAATTTATAGATTTCTCTCCCAGAATACGCTCCTGAAGTTTGATAACCTCATAATAATTCACCCTGTAATCCACCTATAAGCCGGAAAATATATCGCACGGATAAATTATATTAAAATTCATCAAAGTACCTCGATAGAGATAGATTGTTTTTAATAATAATAGAATAAATGTATCCTGCAGAATTTCAAAGTATACTGTTGCGCTTCGCTGCTATCAATATTTCTTCATTTTTGTTGTAACGAAGGACTACATATCACAGGAAAACTCGTGTCCCTATACGTTATCCTTCTCTTGAAACCGATATTTTAACTGGAGTCACCTTTTTAAGTAACAGCAGCCATATTTGGTATAAGTACCCTTTAAAACTATTACTGTCTTCCTGATTTATAGCGGCATCATTTTGAATTAAAAAGTTCATTTGTGAGTATCCGGGTACTTTATAAAATCAACGAACTTCGAAAAACATCCCTAAAATATGCCAAGTTAAAAAATAATCAATAGCGGCCTTCTACAGATAATACAAGATGTGTCTCTTTAAGTTTTTATTTTTTTAATCGACCCATTTTATTCGGAGAAATAATGATGGCCCGTGCAATCGTTTTATGCATCAATTAAAATATTCATTTAATTATCCCAGGACGGAATATCCAATTGAATGAAATTGTCATGGAATTATCGAATTATCCGGATTGCGAATTAGTCGAAGCTTGATTGGGTGACCCTGTAAGAACCGCAATATAATTAATCAACGATAACTGGCTATACGGTATTCTGAATTTGCCTCATCATTTAACCTTTTGGAAGAGAACTCGTGCGTGTTAGTCTCATGTGAACGGATGTACGCTCTGGTTATATACACAATATTCAAAAATAAAAAGGCTTGATGCAATTCGAAAATTAACACGTATAATTTATTAGTCGTCTTGAAAAATTAAATATTGTCAACAATTCACTTTTTAGCAGGTGCTTGAATAAAGAGATTACTTGTTACCTGTTTCCTATTAGTAATTAACCGAAAAACTTAATCATAATTTTCGTAGGCCTCATGTAATACATATATAAAAAGGCGAACTGAAATCCCAACTGTCATCAACTGAATCAACATTTTCATGATCCCGATTGTTTAGGAGCTTAGGGAAATTCTTATGTCAACGTTATTAAATTTGCTTTATGTACCAACTGGTTCAAAATATTTAATGACGCCTGGTAGCTAATATAATATAATCACTGAATTCGGTGCAATATATGGCAGAGTGGTTTTCTTAATAGAATATAATTGGTTATTATATCGGCGATAATTTTATTATCCACGGTATTACGAGTAAAACTAAATTATCATTTTTTTCCGTTATTTACTAATCAAATTCATTTTGTCAACCGGATAAAACGTGTTTTATTTTCAATTCGTACGCTCGGTTTGCAGTTAATACGTTGCGTTCGCATGGCATTACATCGTAATGAAGATGTTTCGATTAAATATTTACCTTTAAACAATTAAGTAGGTACATAAAATAAATATTACAATATTTGATGAATATCAAACGCTGAACTAGTAAACCGTTCGTCTAGTTACGAGCATGACAATTTGAACCCCGGATTCCGTATTCAGTTGTTAAATTTCAGCAGTGGACCAGGGCAAGACAATGGTAGCATACAAATTTCTAAATGATGTATCGTCTGCAGTTCTAGTCTTGGAATTTGCATTAACCCGAAATATTGTGAGAAATAAGACAACTGTTAGTAGATTGAAGACCTCCTATATATGATGTTTCCCAATCATGTCCTAAATTATATCTATATTTACTACATTAAATATCTGTAAGATATTAATGCTCGATGAAGGGAAGCTACTTTAGACAGTTATCTATAAGATAGTTAACAACAACACGAATTATTATTAATATTTAGACAACCTTTGTGGTGTAGATGTATGATAGTTTAAAATTATTAATGTGAATTAGTAGAATGCGAATAGAATTGAAGGAGCTCGAGCTTAAATGGCAAAACAGTGGGCAAAAAGCTAATTGGAATTTCAGCCTCAGAACCGTGATTTTATACACGGCACCGAGCAGGAGTATGAAATATCAAATAGTCGCAAGTCGGCTTTGAACTGTCAACCAAAAATCCCGCTTTTATAAGGCAAGTTAACGAGCATAACAGTATGCTAAAAACTAGCTTCATAAATTCATCGGAAAACAAGTTATCTGAAAATGCCCGCAATATTGATCGGTGTCGACCTTATCGATAAAAAAATAAATTAAAACACTAGTCAGTGTTGAAAAATGACCGCGAAATAAAGCGAATCTGAACATAAATTTAAAATAAAGAAATGGAGCACGTTGCCTGTTCGTCGTGTCGTATTTAGAGAATTTCGCAGGTAGTCTGAAAACTCAATTACAATTTATTCTTTGAAACGTTTTCTAAGGCAGAAGGAGCCTATAAAAGACGAACGCTGAACTTCCCCAAATTGCAGATAAAATCAAATCGGTGGCAACTAACTATCTCAAATTAGGGTTCAGACCTGATTAATGGAGTAATTTTTTAGGGAGTATTGGTCGATTTTTGTTCGATTCTATTTGGAATTATATTTTATATTGCTTTTGAATTACAGACTATCTACAAGATTTCACGCAGATATACTCGAACTCAAGTCAACTTACGTTCAAGTATAATAATTTCTGATAATAAAAATAAACAAATAAAATTATATGGAGAAAGCAAAAAACTATTTTGGAATACCTATTTGAAGCAAATATATTAAAACTATTTAGGGGAAAGCATTGAAAACAACTTGACAAAACTCTATGAACGTAAAAATGTGTTTTCCGGGCGAAAATATTTTCTACAAAGGTAGCACAGATGACTAAATTTTAAGCTCAAACTGTCACACAACTTAATTTTGCCGTGGAGCGTTTCGAGTCCGTTAGGAATCGAGGGTTTTATATTTCCAGACAATAACCGACTTTTGTAGTTTAATAGCATTATCCCTTTTATTCTAGCATCCCTAACTGCTCTCACATGTCACATTAACAATAATAGCTGAAGTCTAATGTAAAAACAGCCATTTATAATAAACTTATTGTAAGGTAAAATAATTAGAGATATAAAATTTATTTAGCAGATGTCTTTAATTAGAACAGAAGATTAATAAATTCGATGAAGCAAACGTGCCTTAAGTTTAGTGTTAATTTAAATTAGTCGAGAAAATTTCCCAAGATTTTCTCGTCCTTTCCATTTTCCACCTCATCGAGTCACAAAAGAGTATTTTACTGTCATTCTTGGCTGAATTGGCTTCCTTGGCTAAATGTCATATGTATTAAAGCTGTGACGTACTTAAAGGTTTAAAAATAAAGTACATGAAATTTTT